CCCTTTGTGAGGAATGAAGAAATGCACCATCGCCTGGAAGTGGCCAGCAAATAGCCTTCGCCTACTTCACATATCCGGCTTGATGGGCCCCGGGGGAGGGGTTTCAGCAGGCTCTTCCAGTAGATTATGCCTTGGCGCTCGCCCTGGTCCCACCCCCTTCTACCAGAGACCCTCAGATCTGTCCCACTCCTACCCACACCCCTACAGGCACCCTTGATGCGCATGATATAGAGCTGGCCACACCCACTCCAGCCATGCCCACCCAGTAGGCCACACCCACCCTGGCCACACCTAACCCTCCCCAGGACAACAGCAATGCTGATGCGGCCCTCAATGAAATTGAGTTTGATACCCCTGAGCTAGGGCCTCACAATTTTTTAATGTATGCTTTACTTGTTAAGTTTTAAAATGGCAATAACTGCATAGCATATCATTGGAGGAAATAATTTATTTTGTGAAAGTTCCCAAAAGGCCTTAAAACCTGGCTCTGTTAATTGGCCTGGAGCCAGGAGAGGGTATGTCATGCTGGAAGTGGTTATGGATTGAGAAAAGATTCTGCTTCCACACCTTGTCTGTATCTTTCCCCCTTTCTTAGCCATTTTTGTCCTTTTTAATGGTAATATTATCTTAAGATTTTAAATGTAAAATCATCTGATGGTGAGATGGCCGGGCATATAAATTTAATAAATAAGTAATTTCACTTCTGAGACATCTAGGAAGAAAATGTGTTAAATTGTATATGGGATCGGTTTTCCCATTTTGCAAACCAGTTCATTCAAGTCGGATTTTTCACTTTAAATGCTTGCTATTAATTTAAATTTTATCCTTTTTTTTTTCTCTAAATAAGTCTCAGTCTCAGTCTGTTGATTGAACATCCAGTTTCAAGCTTTAGGTAGCCCTGGGCGACCAGGCGTTGTCCCGAAAAAGACGCGCTGCTCTAAAGAGCTGAATGCAACCGCCAGGTTCGCGCATACATTAATATCCTTTTTGGAACCGAGTCCAAAATGCTTGTCCGCTTCTACCTTTCAGCGTCGGCTTGAAGGCGGCCACCCGCTCCCCTAACTTTCTACAGTACACTAAGCGAAGGAAACGAGCTGGAAAGAAAGGAAAAAAAATACCCCGAGGAGAGAGGTGGTTAAATTTGGATTTCTGAGCAAAACAAAGCAACTCGACACGCCAATTCAACGCAAGCCGCTAATTTTATCTTTTTTTTTTTTTTTTTTTTGGGGGGACGGGCTCCGCACTCGTTCGCCATTTCTTTTGGGCCTCCTGCTATCCAATCCCGCCCTAAACCCAAGCTAAAGACCGAGACTTGCTAGGTTCACTCTCCACGTTATGCCAACGACCAAGGGACCTGCATGTGGCGGACTCAAGCTAGTATCCGGCTAACTAGCGGGTTTAAAAGGAGAATTTGAGAAAGCCAACTAAAACGCACACGCCTCGCTAGAGACCTCATTTTCAAACGGGAAAAAAAAACAGCGAATACTTACAAGAGAACGCTTAAACAACACGGAGACTCCCAGACGAGAAGACGAATCACCAGGGCGTCACGAGAAAATGAGACCACCACCGCCGCTGCCAGACCACGCCTGGCGCTCTCAATTCGGGAAAGTAATGTATCTGACTCGGGCGAGGCGGGGCCAACCTATGTTAATTTTCATTGGCCAGTTACAGGTTTAGCATCCTTGATTGGCTGTATGTCATGGAGTTCGTTAGCTAGAGGGAATGCAGAATAATTTCTTGGCTTTTAGCTACCGTGCTGAGACCTATGGGGGAATATTTGTGAGATTAATCACAAAGACCGAGGAGAGTAGTACGTAATAATAGGAATATCAGGGGGAGGGGAACAGTATATTTCAATACATTTTAAGCATTTTATTCCAGAGTGCGTACGTATGACAGTTACAGTATAGCTTAACGGGAGCCTAAGATGCTTGCTCGTTTGCGCGACCCTCTCCTAAGGTACTTCGCAGTCGCCAATTCATGATGACGGAAGCTATCACATGATATGCAGTATTGCCCCACGGGCCTCGCCCAGGTACTTAAACTATGATTCAGCTGACTATTTAGAAGGGATTCAGAATAGACAGTAAACTCGGGCTACATTTCGAAGGAGATTTATCTAGATGTGCTTCAGAGTATGATCCGGAGCAGTATGAGAAGATCTAAACAGAGATGACACCACCATTTTTTTCCCCTTAATGCCAGAAATCTGAAACATTTTAAAGGACCATACAAACTGGGGGAAAGAAGTGTAAACTTAATTGAACTTGACAAATAGCATATTGTGATACGAAAGAATAGGTTCTATTATGCAAAACTAAGCAATTAGATTTATATTCTTTTTTCCCTTGGTAATTTGATAATTGTTAGCTTTCTACCACCAATAAGCAAACTGCATTTCAATTCTCTTGAATTGTGCCTACTTTTCATGGCACAATAATCCAATGCCTTGTATTAGGGTCTTGCATATGCAATCTTACTGAACACGTCCATGTGTCCTTGACTTGGTTTTGCAAACCTGTCATAAAGTTTTTGCTGACTGAAGTCCTTGCTTGAATAGACAAAATGTACTTCACTTAAGAAGAAGAAAAAAATTGTAAGTCTCAGATAATATGGGACAGAGGTTCCTTCTTATAGATTTTTCTCCAACAGTTTTAATATCTCTTTTTTATGGATCCCCCCCTCCCCCCATAGTTCAGATATCTCTAATTTGGTCTCCTTTCTAATTAACTTTTTTTCTTAAAAATATTTTGGTATTTCCCATGAGAAGCTTGAATTCTCACTCATGTTTTCAACTCCATGCTTTCAGCACCATTAAAAGAGGGATCTTATAGATCAGGTCCCACTGAATTTATATAAACATATTTTCCCCTCCCATAGGCCATTAGTCTGTGCCTCTGATGATTTCTCCTTTAGTTGTTGGGAAAAGCAGAGTGTAATCCAGGAAGGTTTTTGTTTTGTTCTGATTTCTTTGTTTGATAAGGTGAATACTGACCTGATGAAAGACTGCAAATCTTTTATGAAATTGACATTGCAATTAATAAGTAGAAATTTGGACTTTTTTTAATCCAGAGTGGGGAAAAGTATCTGCAGAACATATCGTTCTTTCTCTTTTATTGTCCCACATTTTAACAAGCACACATGTACTTTACTATTTTGTCTGATCCTCTTATCAGTATAATGAGATGGACAACTCTGTATGCATGCATTATCAGAAATAGCAAACAAAATCTTTATGTTCATTTTGTCTCCTTGCTATTTCAAATATAATGCTGCAAGAAGCAAAAAGGGAGCTGGATGAAAGCAAACTGTTTTGTGCTAGCCTTTGGAGCTACTATACCTTCCTCTCTAGTAGTGGGATATACATGTTAAAATTGATGGAGGTGAAGGGATTTTATTGTGCTTGTGATTTTAGTAGGTTTAAGTTTGACATTAGCATTTATTTTATATATAGTAACCATTTTATTTTGATACTTATAGTGTAATCATGTAATCATTGTTTTGTTATTTTGTAATCATTATTTTGTAGTTAATTGCTTGATCAGATGCTTTATATATATATTGGAAAAGTAAGGGCTTCATGCTTTAGGTACAGGTGATTGCTTACATGAAAAGAGCACGGTAAGGGGAGGGGGAAAAGGAGTTACGGATGGAGCCTGGGTTGCTGTGTATGAGTCATCATCTAGGAATTATTTTTTTTTGTGCCATCTTATGCGTAGTACCAAGACCTGGTCTTTTTGTTCTGAAAAGGTATAAAAGGTGGAAGACATATTTTCTGGTTGTTGCCTTCATCTCTCTACCAGCCACGAAGAGAGATAGGGTCACCCAACTCTATTTTGATCAAAATAAAAGTTGTTTGCTTGCTGGAGCCTCGGCGCAGGAGTTTCTTTGACTCTTTTAAATTCCTGACTAATGCTGGGGCAATTGTGAGGCTAAGTGGAAAACCTTACAGAGGGCCTCAAGAAATTGGAAATTAGTCTTTTATTTTCCTTTTTTCCATCCTTATCCCCCTTCCCTACTTCTGTCCACTACTTTTGTTCAGCTCATCCATTCCTACAGCCCTCCTGCTTTCTCCCAATCATTACTCAAAAGGTAACTCAGTTATATTCTATGAGGGTGAAATGCTATGGGGCAAATGTTGTGGGGGATATCCAATCTGATATTGACATATATTCCTCTTGTTTCAGGATAAAAATTTATCATGGGGCTGCAAAAGGCTTTAAGAAAAAGAGGAAATAGATTTGAACTTGTAAAATAAATTTAATGAACATACAAAAGCATAGTTAGAAATGAGTGTCTAGATCTAAAATGGCAGAAAGTCAAAATTGATGTCACTGAGGCTGTTTTGAATAGCATAAAAGTAATATTTCATAGGTTAGTACAGTTACCATGTTATCCTCTAATGAACCGTGATAATAGAAGAACCAGATAAGAATGTGAAGGAGAGGGGATGTGCAACATTCTTTTTAAATATATATATATATATATATATATATATATATATATATATATATATATATTTTTATTGGGGTTTTTTTTACACATCACCATCAATGTTTGGTAAATAGTGTGTTGTCTGGGTTTGTATTTACAAATAACAGTTTCTATAGTTCCATATTCCACATAGTAGCTTTCCTTGATTTTCTCTTCTTCCAATAATATTCTCTTTTATCAACCTTAAATTAGTACATTTCTTGATAATTTTAGAAGATAACAAATATCTACAAATATCCTCTACCTTATTATTAAGCTTCTTTTCTAATAAATCATCTAGATCACTTTGTCATATATCTTGTTTTCAGAGTTCTCATTTCAATTTATTTTCCCCACAGTATTCAAAAGAATACATTTTTATCTGTTAAAATTTTCCTAGAGTTACTTACACTTATATATTGAAGTCTTTTTCCTCATAACCAACACTTACATTTTTCATATCTTGAAACAGAAAGAACAAAGGACAGAAATAATATACTGTCAAAAAAAAACCCATATCCCTCTTGAACTAGAATATATTTATAATCAGTGTTTCATTTTCTAAGCATATTCAAGTCTTCAAAATCCATTATATTTAAGTATTTAGTATATTTTCCTCATATAAATCATCCCAAATATTTTTATATTTCTCATATCATAGACAAAAAATACTGTATACTGAGCAACTGTATACTGAGCAACTACAAAAAGTCTAGGGCCAATCTCCCCTAAGTTCCGGGGCAGTATGTAATTATTTACAAGAGTAGGCTACCAGACTGGGGAGATTTATGTGTTTTATATGCAAAACATAATAAAGTAATTAGCTCCAACTCTGTACATGTAGGCCTGGTTGTTCATGCCTGACAGATATAAAGGAAACAGTTTTTAAAGTAATAATATTGGCCTAATAATAGATTCCATAATTAATCAGGACACTGATAGAAGTCACATCCATTTCCAGTTAGTTGCAGCTTTCTCCTCAGGGAAAAGACACTGAAATTAAAAATCTTTCCACCATTTAAAAAAACTAGTGCTGGCTCTTTAAAGTATTTTCCTCTTTTACATGTTTAATATTATAAAATGTGCATAACCATACAGGATATAAATCCTAGAAATTGTAAAATAAAGTGCTATCCATTTTGGTACCTCTAATTGGGTTCAATCAATTCATATAATTGTCAACCAGCATAAGAATTATAGGACTGGAAGCCCAAAACACTTGAAAGACATTAGGTTGAGAATGGCTATGTTACAATTCCTAGATGTGTTTACTGACTTAGACCCATTCATTGTTCACCGGGATCAGAATATCGATATGCCAAGGATCGAGTGGGATCAAAAAGAGATAGACAAAGGAGAGAGGAATTGGATGCTAGTTACATTACTGAGAATTGAGAGAGTATGTGGAGATTTAAGGTCCACAACTATATTACGCATATAATGTAAAATATTTATGAACACAAAATCATTTCAAGTTTGAAAGTATAATATAATGACTAGATACACACAATATCCTATGAAATTTACTTACCACATTTTCATCCCTGTGAATCTGGCAGATTCTGCCCATGCAGTTAGTTTATGATATAGTGAATTATGCCACCTATGTTAAATATTATTACTATTTTTTAATCAGCAGAGTTGTGTAGTCACTGACAAACAGAATGATGTCTGCAAACATCTAGATTACAAGGTTAATTCTATGTATCTATAATCAGATGAAAGTCTGAAGTTCAATAAAGTTTATTGTAAAGTGTTAGGTAAGAGGATTATTTCCCTCATAGTGTTTACTGTGATATCTTTGTTAAATATGTAATAGCATACATTAAACATGTTTTGTACAAACAGGTGATACTTTTTTTCTTGCTGAATGAAATTTGACCTGTTATATTCCATTTTAAGTATTAAAAAAACAATAGATGGTTTGCTCACTGCAACAGGGTAAAATGTGATGGCTTATTTTGTTGCTGAAGTGATGGTATGAATTCAGCCAGGATAGTTGTGTAATTCTAAGCAATTTGGTTAAATAAGTATATACAGAGAGACAATACTTTTCTTTTTGGTTTCTCAGCAAGTTTCTCTATTTCCCAAAACTCAGGTTCATTGCATTCACATATGGTGCTAATCTGTTTAACAGTCTCCAATAGTTGGCAGTTAGAGTGTAGTACTGCAGGCCACTTTAGCTGACTGTGTTCAGCAGATCAGCGGTTCAAATCTCACCGGCTCAAGGTTGACTCGGCCTTCCATCCTTCCGGGGTAGGTAAAATGAGGACCCAGATTGTTGGGGGCAATGTAAATATATATATACATTGCTTACTGGTGTATACCGCTTAGAGAGTGCTTGCACTTAAAGCGGTATATAAGTCTCATAAATAAATAAATAAAATTCTGTCTTATCTTGGGTTTCTTTGTCAGTTCTGAGTCCTTATACAGACCTTACTATTTCCTTCATTTAATTAGTGGGAAAAAGTGAACGATGTTTGCCCATCAACTTTGCTTCCTTGGCCCTTATTAGTTTCCACTGAAATAAGTTACAATAATGTTATAAGCTTGTTGTTGTTGTTGTTGTTATTAATTGCGAAGTCGTGTCCGACCCATCGCAACCCCATGGACAACGTTCCTCCAGGTCTTCCTGTCCTCTACCATCTTCTGGAGTCCATTTAAATTATATAAGCTACTAATCTTAAAATACGAAACCATGGGATTTATACATACCAAAGCAAAGCCAGGGTTCTCTCAGGAATCTTTCTACATATAGGGTAAGTAGAACATATTGCACATAGTTGTTTCAATACTTTTTAAGATACCAATAGTTCTATATACGTGGGAAAATTTGCAAAAGAATGTTAACAATTGTCCATACACAATATACTTTTAAAATGGCATACTGTGCCTAACATAGGAAGGACTGTGTTAAGTAATACTTTTCAGAGTTTCTCTATTGAATAAAGTCTTCACAGAAAACAATGCAATGAAAAAGAGAGAATACCTTTTTAAATTAAGCTCCGTCAATATTAGGTTCTGCGACTAAATGCAGAAATATGGAATAGGACATACGTTTTAAAGCAGCAGTTACTGAGTATACTGCATAAAGTGCCACACATATATGAGTTTTATATAGAGTGGTTATCTTAACACCTGTATAATAGGTAAAGATTGCTATAGCATGTTAAAACAGATAGAAGGTCAAATCTGTCAATGTAGGACTATAAACAGTGAGATCTTACAACCATTCTCTTGGTAACCTCTTAAACTTGTTTATGATGAGCTTGCATTAAAAGTGAGCTGTGAAATATAGTATTCGTGTTTACTGAAAAACATGCAGCTGTAGAGAATGATAAAGGAAAAGAATATGAATCTGCTTTCTTACAAAAAATAGAAATACGATAAATAAGCACTTTCACTGCCATGGATTAACCAGAAATTAAATATTAAGGAGAAGGCTCAATTGTCAAAGACAATCAACATGCACTGAGTGAGAGTACTTTCTTACAAAATTGGTTTTCCATTTTTATATTTTTTCCCCATTGCTTTCCTGGCTTAGCTTTAACACTCTTGTAGTTACACAGACATTGCTTCTTCAAATAGCTTTAGCTGTTCCAGTAAAAGTGCTTGCGTATCTGGTTAGAACTGGGATATGCAAAGAACATATTATTTTGAATCTCCTTATTACCGGGACATCATCCAAACCACAATTGCTGCTGAGATACCAAAGGGAGTGGTACTGACGAGGAGACTTGGACTCTTATTGCAGAAATCTCTTTGGCAGCAAAGGTGTCTAAAACTGTCAACACTAAACTCCTCGGCTATAACATCTTTGCCACATTTTGACATTTTCCAGCACCTGTACGTTCTCAAATTCACTGTAAACAAAATCAAAACATAAATTGAGATCAATTTTGCTTCTGATGAAATACAAGCAAGAGATACATTTTAAATGACCACACAAAAAAAAATCAGCTGCTTTGTCACTTAAAAAAAATATAGCACAGGACATTGTTTAAAATAACAAATATTCCTTGATTTATATCATCTTATACACATGAGTATTCAGAGACTAGCACCCTCCTAGAGAACCTCAGAGAAGTCCTTAAATGTTTTTCAGAAGGGCTGTAATCCAGTAGAGGTTGCTGTAGGAGCAAGAGGTCAGAGGCAATTTTCACTGCCACTTACACCATTTTCCTTACTGTTCTGGAAGGTTTCAAAATGCTCTACGCAGATGTTTAGGGGAAAAGAAAAGGGTCAGTAATAACTTTTTCTTTCCCTCAACCTTTCTCCTGTAGAGGCATCTTACAAAGATCTCTGCTGCACTGGAACTATCCAAAATAACTTAAGGGTTATTTTACATCAGTGGTTCTCAACCTTTTTAATGCCGCGACCTCCCAACCGGTCGTAAGTCGAGGACTACTCAACCGGTCATAAGTCGAGGACTACTCAACTGGTGCAGCACCATTTGCACAATGGGACTTTTGGCATTGTGCAATTCCTATTGGCTTTTGAAAGCCAATAGAATTAGACTCTATTCAAGAGAGTCTATTCTATTGGCTTTCAAAAGCCAATAGAATAAAAGGGAGTAGCACAGCTAAGGAAAAGGAGAAAAAAAATGACGGACTGCGTTGTTTGGCAACCCCTGTGAAATGGTCGTTCGACCCCAAATGGGGTCCCGACCCACAGGTTGAGAACCACTGCTTTACATAATATCTTTCAGTTTTGAAGCACAAATATAAAAGTTACTGTCTCTGCTGCTCAAGATTAGAAACTGCAGAGTTAACGTTAGTGCTTGGCTATAAACCTTGACTAGTCGCAAGAAGGGTGTTTTAATTTTGTTACGCATAGGTTGAGATATTCGTGAAGAAGATGCTGTATGGACTATTGGCATGTAGAAAGCATGCGTTATAGGGCTGAGAAAGCATGCTTCAAAGAGGATTCAGACAGACTTCAGACCTTAAATGGGCATAAGGCTTCACTAATATTCATTCAAGCAGCTTGTCTTCTGTGCAAGTTTGAAAACAAGTTACAGCTCCTTGAAGGATTATATTATGGATCAACTATGGTTTTTTCCCCAAATCTTCCAATTCCTTTCTTGCCAATTAGGGCACAAAGTACAAGAGAAGCCTTTCTCCTCTTGTTCTTTGTTCCCTGATTGATAAGGAAGCTTTGATTACTGCCCCTATGATCCAGTTGAAATAAAAGCTGTGTTATCAGTCTGTGTATTAGTGATTGTTTTCAGGTACCTCTCCCAATGGAAAAAAGTGACTATGACACCTATGTCATGCACAATGATTTTACATAATTTGTTCTTTTTCTGTTTCTCATGGCTGCTTGCAGGTGCTCTTTCGGTAGAATTTCACTCTTTTATTAAGTTCATATGTACTTTTGTAATAGTAACAATTGTAGGTATTACATTTCTTTAAGGACTCAAGCTGTCACATCCAGATCTTAGAAAGCAGTTTTCTGGAGATAAAAGCAGAATTGGGCCCTAAGGAATGATACTGATGAAGCAGTCAGTTGTACTCATAATCCAAAACTTTGTACAGCCCTTTTTAATTTCTGAGCCCACCCTGGTTGAAAAAATCAAGGAGTAAGGTTCAGATTTGGGAGATGGATGACTTCAAAAATAGGAAATTCAGATAAAAGAAGACTGTAATTTTCAGGAAACCAAGATGGAGAAGATCCAAGAATCAGAGCATTGTTATCAAACCAGGTTAGGTTTGCAAATGCTTCTTTATCACTTTTTGTAGGCGTCTGACTGATCTAGCTAACAATAATTTTATTAACATTATTGGAGGACAAACAATCTATGACAGAAAAAAATCAGAAGTCTAGTAGCACTTTTTCCAGCTAATAGATTTTACTAAAAGGCATAAGTTGTCATTAACCACTGCAGCGTACAAAAAACTTTTATGAATGCCTTTTAATAAATATGTGTTAAGTCAGAAAAAGTGCTGCCAGATTCCAATAATTTTGATAAAAATCCTAATGAGACAATAAGCTTGATAGGGCACAAGGGAAGTGTCTAGATGTTGATTAAGCAATTTAAACAGTTTTCAAGATTGCACTGTTTAGGATAAATTCCAGGTTCTGCAAATTTCTCATTCTACTGACTATCTTCAGCAATCATGAGTGTTACAATTTATGATCGTTCTTGAAAAAGCATTGTATTATAATATTTTAGTTTTAGAATTTTCCCATTAGCAATTGTTTCAAACAGGCCTCCAAGTATCATCTTCCCTTTTTTTCAGTGTGACATACTAAGATTTGATAATGAATTCTTTTCCTGATTGGTCAAAATATCATTTCATTACCCAACTATTTTTTTTTTAGTTTAAAAGCTTAAAAATAATGGTTGGAATCTGACAAAAAAACTTTTACAGCAGCAACTTCATACTCACTAATTTAGGAAGAAATCATAACTAACTCAGTGGAGCTTAAATTCTCAGAAAATAAACATTGTTGTGATGAACTTAGTAGCCCCTCCTACTGACTTGTTAACATGGGATTCACTGAATAGCTAAACTATATTACCCATAAGCCATCTCTTATGGAGAGAGCGCTTAACCCTATAAATGCCAAACATTCTTTAATTTTTTTTTATTTTTTAAACCAACAAAACAAAACAAAACATAACACACATACACACACAGTGTATACTCCTCCCTTTTTTAAAAGCGATTTCATAATGGTAATCTTCTATTATTTACATTTCCCCCCCCCTTATTCCTCTTTAGAATATTTGTCCTTGTTGCCCCGTTGTTTCTTATTTGCATTTTTCTTCCTTTGTACTATACTTCATACTAAGAATAATACATATTATTATTATTACTATACATTATTATACACACATTTTCCACTTTTGACCTTTCCACATTTATTCTCCTCTATTATTTCTAGTCTCCAACCAGTCATACCACTTGTTCCATATTAGATAGTACTCTGTGTCTTCCTTTTTTTAAATCTCTTTTGTTGATTTGTCCATCTCAGCTTAGTCCAGGATTAATGCCAAACATTCTAACATACAGTTCTCATCTAACTGGCTGATCCAGAACAAACATACTTGCACCAGAACATACTTGTTCCAAAGTTCAGTTTATTCATGCAAAGTATACATACCCATTCTAATTTGCAAGCAAGCATCATCTTCCTCAGAACAGGTTAGGTTGGTTCTACAGAGAAAAGGACTTTGTTCACAGATATAACATCGAAGTGCATAGCCTGAAACATAAACAGTATTTTTTTATCTGCCAGGTTTATGTAATACACCATTCAATTATCTCACATCTATTATTATTTCAGTAACTTAACAGACTGTTGTTATCTAATCAATATTCTTTATGTACATATATGCATATGAGGACTAGCAGAATATTTACTTAAAGCTGCTGAATATTTGTATCTAAACTGAGATTTGTCTGAATAAATTTTCAGTTTAGTTTCGTAGGCACAATTATCTCAAGATTTAGTTACAAGGTTTTAGCAAGAGACAGATTGTGAAATAAATAATAATAATATACAGAGCTTGGCCCCATCTAACTCTCTTGACATTTGTACATTGTAAAGTAGACATTTGATTAAAATGTTTATGTATGAAAAACCAAATATGGGAAAGAACATGAATTACTTTCTTGGCCATCCAGAACTTCACATACCATACTAAGGCAGGATCTAAGACAACTCAGCACGGCCAGCTTGGTGCGGCCAGCTTGCCATCACCAAGTCATCACAGGACAACTCAACATGGACAACTTGTCATGGGGACCACTTGCCACAGGTAGCTGGAGGGAGAACCGGGCAAGCAGCCAGATGAGCAGAATGTAGAGCCAGTGGTAGCCAGGGGTTCCCACCAGAGGGGGAACAGGCCAGGCAGGTGAGTGAGTGGGTGGCAGAACTCAGAGTGACAGCAGCAGCGTCCAGGGGCTTCCCATTTTCATGCCGCTGCTGCTGCACCAACCTCCAAGCCATTCAGAGTATGGGCCATTTGGTGGCGGCAGTGGGTGGGGCTGGCAGTGTGGAGGTGGCAGAGGCTGGGCATGTCCCATTTTAATACCCATTGCCACAGGCCATTCAGTGGCAGCAGTGTTTGGGCTGTTTGATGATGGCAGTGGGGTATGTGAAAATAGGACACGATAGCCTCTACCATATCCCTATCACCTGTCCCATCCTCCGCTGCCAAATGGCCCATGACAGCTACAGTGTGTGTGCAAAAATGGGAAACACCTGGCCTCCACCACCTCCCTGCCCACCGCCACTGCCACTGAAAGCCCGAACATTGCCAGCATTGACCAGCCCAGATTCTGAAGGGATTGGAGCTTAGTACAGCGGCGGTGGCGAAAATGGAAAGCACGTGGCCCCACTGTTGCTCTGTACTCTGCCCAGTCGCTCATTTGCCCACCCACCTGGCTCTCCCTCCAGTGGGAAGCCCCTGGCCACTGTGCTCTGCACTCTGCCAATCCCCTCACCTGCCCACCCGCCTGGCTCTCCCTCTGGCTGTTTGCAGAAAGTTGTCCCAAAAGGGACTTGGCCATGTTGAATTGTCCTGCAGCAATTTGCCGATGGTGAAGAGGCATCTTGGCAATGGTGAGGTGGCTGCGCTGAGTTGTCCCATTCTGACTGAGGTATGCCTATCACATCCTGCTTATAGCAAAATGAAGAATCAACATTTTCTATCTGCCTGGCATGTGTGCAGAAATTATTCATGGTGGAATCAATAGCAATAGCATTTAGACTTATATACCACTTCACAGTATTTTACATCTCTCTCTAAGCAGTTTATAAAGTCAGTATATTGCCTCCAACAATCTGGGTCCTCATTTTACTGACCTCGGAAGGATGGAAGGATGAGTCAACCTTGAGCCGGTGAGAATCAAACTGCTGAACTACTGGCAATTGGCAGTCAGCAGAATTAGCTTGCAATACTGCATTCTAACCACTGCACCATCCTGGCTCTTAATATTGGTTAGCTAGCATTTCTATAGCATCTCATTTCAATCCTGTTTAGTTAAATGCATCCTATATATATTATTTAGAAGACATAGTATAGCACTTACATACCGTAACAAAATCTCTACAGACTTTTATCCAGAAAGCATGTTAATGGACTACAATGGAGTAAATGCTCTTGGATATGTATGATTCTATTGACAGAGAGTATTGTTGTCTACTGCTTTCCTACATCCCAATGTGGTTTAGTCCATTCTCTTTACTAAAAATGCAGAAATATCACAATACTTACCAGAAGTGCAGGATATGGTTAGAATAATGAATGCTGCTAGGAGAATGTAGTTCATTTTGTCCATGTCTAGAAGTAGAATCATACATGAGATCATGAATAGAGAAGGTAGCTCAAAAAGGTAAAAGAAAATCTGATCTGTCTATCCAAGTAAATGAAGCCTATGAAAATCAAAATCTTAAAAGCCAGTGACAAGAAGGAAGATTGCCCCCCCCCATACCTCCCAGATGAGTTTTTTAAAAAGAGGAGGCAGGCAGCTTCTTTTTGGCTTTGTTCCTACCTGAGTTCTTTCCAGAACTAGTGGAAAATCAAGAAAGATAGGAGCCTAGTTCATAAAATCTGGGTTGCAGATCAGAGAAATAATACAGCAAATTAGAGACAAATAGAGCTAGATGCAGGGTAGATTTGATTTGATTTAATAGATAGTGACCTAAAGGTGTGCACATGTGTCATTGGAATGTCTGACTGATTTCAGCCTGAGCTTCAAAATAAACTATTGCCTTCCTTTTTCTTTGTCCTTTTGTTTCTATCTCCTCCCTTCTAGTTCTTTATTATTTTCATAATAAAATGTCTTTCTTGCCCAGTTAATGCTGATAGAAGACAGATTGCCACTTGACTGGAGAGGCGTGTCCCTTGAATAAAGTGGGCAGCGGCAGCATTCATGACTAGGCATTTTCCAAGAATGCATTAAGATTGCGCCTGAAAGGTTTAGAATTCACAGGAGCCAGAGGAACTAAAACATTGCACTCCCGTGCATTATATAGCAAAGCAATGTGCTTTATGAAAGGAATTTCTTCATGCACTGTTTTTGCCCATTAAAATCTACCCCCAGAAACCAGACAACTAAAGTTGTCTCTCTAGTATTTTTCCACAGTGGATTGAAAGTTGTTTTGGCTTCAGCCTAGGTTAGGAGCAGCAGTCTATTCAAGAAAGATCTGAATCTGCAGAAAGACAAGAATGAATGATCAAACACACAGAGACACGCATACACCACAATTAAACATGAATGGAAGAAACAGCCCAACAAATATTCTGCATGAATGGAAATAGATGTAGTTTAGGTGAAAACTAAGAAAAAAGGACGCTGAAGGATTTGCCATACTGTAGCTCCCACTTCTGTGTTTCAGAGCCAATACCAAGTGTTGCAATAACCTAGCATCCTGATTGTGTGGAAGATGGGATGTAAACAACAATATATTAGCTTGTAAGGTAATATCAACAATGGAAATCTACTTTGCACAGAGTAGCATAAACATGCTAAAACTGATTGATGAAGTCATTATTAGTATTAGGAAATCCTATCAGTGGTATGAGTATACCTATTCTCCAATCAAACTAATCTAATTAATCAACTTCTCTTTCACATTGATCTGCTTGCACAGTGATTACATGCATGGAAAAATTATTGTACCTTGCAACAAAATGTGTTGTGTATGAGATTCAGATAGTTAATTGCTGACAGCTTCAGTAATATATCTCATTGTCTCTTCATTCTGCTAACGGAGTAGAGGAATTAACAAAGGTGAAATATTTAGGAAACAATTTAAACTAGCTAGAATAAGCTAAGGGGTTTCTGAATGCAGGAGGAGTGCACTTCTTCTGCTGGAAAGAAAGATTTGCTACTGAGACACTGTTTACATTATCACAGGTATTCAAGTTTATTTGTGAATACTTCACAAATAGAGATTTCCCACCAGCAATGTTCTGAGTGGGAGAAAAGAATACATTGACTGCTGTTGAGAATTTTCATGGCCTTAAGCCAATCTGTTTCCTCTTGTTAATTGTTATGGGGAGGAGTTGGATATTCAGTGCATCAAGTCTGAATGGTATAAAAGTTATGGCTCCACCATAGAACTTTCATCCATTGCCAGAAAAATAGAGGTGTCTCTATTAAAATTCTATCCACTAATATATTGTAATAAACTAAGAAATGTTTAGAAATAATGGTTATAAACTAAGGCAAACATGGTGTAGATCTTATTCTGGTAAAAAGACTGACGAAAGAAACACTGACCTCATCTGGTCACAAACATCTGATGCCCAGATGTTTGTGCATTCCTTCTGCACTATTATTTAGCTGTTTAATTACGAGGGATTCCTTTCTCACCTTTTATCAGTCAGCAGAAAACTTTGATAGTAGAGCTGTACATGTATATAATACATGTTAAATAAATTGAAATCCTTTTATTACTTTTAACTGGTCATGTTCCAGTTTGTCAATAGCTTTCCAAAAGAGCTGTATGCAAAATTTCATTCTGTTAGGGATGGTAGTAGTGGGGACTTCATTACTCTGCTAACAAGTAAGGAAAAATAAAACAGAACAAGTAGGAATATAAACGTTTTTTTAATGTATGTTGAGTTAAGTGACTGATTACAAGACAGAGCATCCTCTATCTAGCAGTGAAGTTCTGAAGAGAGAACATATTAATTTTTGTATTCCTGGCTAGAAATAATTTCAGCCCGTAATACAAAGAATTATTCAAACCATTTAGGAAGGCAGACCAATGCCAAGAGGCAAGACCTCCTTCAGAAGAGGACTTCGTGAAAGCCTACTGTCCTTCAGTAGTACATAGAGGGCAAACATTCAGTGCTCCTCTAGGCCAAAACAAGAGAAGAGTCTCTTTGAGACGTCCTTATGCTGAAGAATGAAAAGGTGGAACATTGGTTTAGATTTAATAATATACAAAAGGACAGAATTTGCTCTATACTGTGTTATTATTCCTCACTGGGTCTTGTAATATGGATCTTATTTTGTTTTTCACTTTTCTCATCATATGATGATGACAATGGTTTGATTGTAGGATTGTTGCATTTTTGTCTTTTAATTTAATTAATAAAATCACGAATATTTTACATGCATTTGGAAGGGTCTCCAAATGCAGCAAGACTGCACATTACGTTCAAAGCCTGCTCCCCAAAACCAGCCCCAATTAAAGAGCCACCGGTCAAACAGAATACTAAATGCCTTTGAAGGGCATCCGGCTCATCAGAAAACCAGAAAACCGGGAGGATCAGCATCTAAAATGTTCTAACCGTATGCTCTCGCCTTCCACAAAGAAACAAAGACTGAAGACCAAAAAGAAAGAAAGAAAGAAAGAAAAAAAGAAAGAAAGAAAGAAAGGAAAGAAAGAAAGATGAGAGAGAGGGAGGGAGGGAGGGAGAGGGAGAAAGAGAGAGAGGGAGAGAGGGAGAAAAGAGAGAGGGAGGGAGGGAGGGAGGGGACAGAGGCATTACTATCCAAACGACGCAGATAAACCCGCAGCTAAAGACACAAGAGCCCCGTTTTTACTAACGTAAAAAGCCCCTATGGACCGGACCTTGCCTGTGAGCTTTGAGCCCGGCAAATGCAGCTCCGAAGCATCACAACCAGCCCGGCGCCTCTAAAATTGGCCTGCTTCCCCCTCTTGAACATCTTCCTTCCACCTCCACCTGCAGCAGCAAGCGCCTCTCTCAATACTGCTCTCGGGATGCCCCTTCCCACATGCGCCCGGGCTTAGAAAGAGGTTGTCGGGAAGCTCCTTTCGAGCCCGAACGAATCGAGGGCTCGCAAGCCTGGACCCCGCTAGCCCTCGCTCACCCGGACTGCTGCTTCAAAGGCGCGCCGAGCTGCTGAGCCGCAATCCTCCCCCTGCGACCGCCGCTAAATCCTTAAATCTGAGCGGCTCCCTTCCCTTCTGGGGCATCAGCAGGCTCCGCCTTCGGCTCCCTACTGCCGGTCTGCGGCAAAGCAACTGTCAGCCTCATCTCGGCGGCCAAAAAGAGAAGTTACTTTTTTTGTCAGTAAGCAAACAAACACATAAAATAGGGGGATGAGGAGAGCGATCTGGCGTTGGCCTTCCGTCTGCTGATAGTTAGGGAAGCTCCTTGTCAGTCTCAGCATTATCTTCTGGCAATATTTTCAATAAGAAGGGAGACTCCACATTTATCAGTGGTTGGACTGTTTCTGCAACCAGCAAAACAATATTCCACCCACATCTAATGTACCCCAAACACTGTCACTGTTGGTAATTGGGGAACATCAACACCCTGAAAATTACATTGATGGAGGAATGCGTTTCTGAATTCAGTGAGATCTCTGATGTTTTGGGGACATTTTTATTATGTACAGTACTTACTTAGCTTACTTAGAAGCTGTGCCATCTAAATAGGGCAAGGCAGCAAAGGACACAACCACTATTCAAGTGTGAATCCATAATATAAGATCTAAAGAAAAAGAAAGCAAGATATACAAGAGGCACCAGGAGGAACTAGAATCTGAACCATAAGGCGAGAAGGAGCCATCCTCTCTTCCCAGAGTGAGAGTGTCATAAAACTGAGTTCAAGGCACTCAAAATAGAATTTTCCAATAGTTTTTTTATTCTTGTGTTATTCAGGGAAAAAGCAAGGCAAATGTGCAATTAAGCATAATTAATTCATTTATATTTGCACATGTACTTGTTTAATTTCAAAGTTACCTTACTACAATAAGCTGTGCTGACTAGGCTATCAAGAAACTATGCTTAGCAAGGCTACTCAAGTATTATTGCCCAACTAGGCTACACAACTAGGCTGGGAAGCAGACTCGGGGCGTCTTCTGCTCCAACATGAGTCGTCTTGTTCATTCTGGTCTGGTTCATTTCACTCTTCTCTTTATACCCAACTTGTTTACTCAAAATTCATATATATGGTACATCTTGCCCCACCCAGTCAGGTCAGGAACTTCACATTCTTACTTTCTGTTCCATGATTCCAGGAAAAATGCATTCCTTACGTCCACTAATATTCCATCTGGAATCTTCAATAAAACATTCATACACACATTCAGAATCTTTCTTACATATCCCAGCAACATTTGTTTCCTAGTGAGTTCATGAAAAAGTTAACTATGGTTGTATTGCAGGCCCTCTATATTCATAATTGATATTATATTTGTGATATATTCATAACATACAACATAAAATATGTAACAAGAAGGACCAGGGACTTCTTTACCTTTTGTAACCTTTCTCTCTTTTCCTCACTTTTTTCCTTGTTTTGCTTTTCTAGGGATGAAAATACACAATTGCTACATTTTTGTTTTGATTGATGCCATGAGAAATGTCCCATTTTTCAGCATCTTAGTTGGGTGTTTAGGATTAGCTTTAAAAACCTCTAGTAGCCTTGAACCTCGGTTTGCAGTAGCAGTCAGCTAGATTCCTCTGAGAGGGTCTTAAAAGATGGAGACTCTCAAGTCAAGCTCAGTGCCTGGCGACCATGCACTCCATGTAACTTACTTGGCAACAATATCCAAGTGATTTCCCATTGCTGACTTTTGGACTTTCCCCAACTTTGTCTAGATTACAGCCCTGCCAACTATATCCAAATATTAACTAGTCTGAGCTTATGTTACATTTTTGGAATCAGCCAAGACTACTGAGATAGGGCCAACTGCAGGGGCCATGCATAATGTCAATATCACACTACCCTTAATCTTTGTTCAGTGAGTCTAAGGAGGTCCATTTACACCAGGGGTGTCAAACTGCTGGCCCATGGGCCGGTTGCATCATACGGAGGCTGCGCTCATCCCAGCTCCGGCAATGCAAAAAAAGTCATGATACATCGCAACACATCACATGATGCGGTGAGTTTGACACCTGTGATTTACACTCTTGCACAGTGAATTCATTACGTCAGGAAACACCAAGGGTTTTATGTTGTCTGAGATGAAGGACAATATGGCACTCCTCCAGTCTCATGCCTGGCAGTTAACTGCATTATACATCTAACGGGATGAAGCTAATTGGAGAGCCTGGGAAGGCTATGTAACAACGTAAGGCAACAGTGTGTTGTCACACCATATCCTCGAGTCATACCTTTTGCTTGGGGCAACTGTTTAGTCTGAAGTGGCAAGTTTGACATCCGTATATAAATGGAAGTATCACATTGTGTTTTAGTGTGTGCCTTCGAGTCAGTATTAACTCCTGCAGACTGCCTGGACAAGTCCCTGCATTTTTCTTGGTAAGATTTTTCAAAAGTGCTTTGCTGTATTGCTGTAATTTGTATCCTATAATCATAGCAACAATTGCTAATTTATCTGTAGGTCCAGTTCCGAGTTCTGGTTGTTGCCCTTATAACCCTGTGTGGCTTGGTTTCCAACTATCTCTCATTGAGATTTCTCAACCTGTACATTCCTGCAGGAAACTTTCCATCCCATGAGAGATTAAGGAATACCACTGGCCTTTTCTGTAGTTGTCCCCATGCTGTAGGATACCATGTCCCCTGAAATAGGGAATGTCCAAATCTCATTTTTCACAGATCATTTAAGATCTAGTGTTCTGCTGAGGATTTGGGGCCTAGTCATAGGCAGGCTGCCTTTTAAATAGTTTGTTCCTGTTTTCATTATACAGATATTCTCATTTTTTGTAACTCCTTGAGCTGCCTAGAAACGGAAAAAAACTCATGTAATAAATTAATAAATTAATTAATAAATTAATCAAGCAATGTCAAGCATAAAGCTCCAATGTAAGAAGCACATAACCAAATAAAATGTAGTATATTTAATAATGCTATTTTGCATCAGAAGAGAATATTGAGTTGGATGCAATACAATGGCACCTTGTAAGGCAATGTATGACTTTAAGTATTCCTAACTCATAGTCTTAATATTTTTACATATACTAGCAATAATAGTACAAGCCCAGTAAGACTAAAAGTGTCTTGTACACAAATGAAGCATTAGACTAGAAGTTATAGGAGAGCATCATAGAAAATATCCTGCTGTAATAACCCCAAACCCTGTACATATAAACCATTTTTTTTTTTTTTGGTATTCTCTGATTTCATTTTTCAGTGCAAAAGGAAACTGTAATACAAGTCTTACAACAGGCTTAACAGAGTTTTTAAAAACCATGAAGTATAAAATTGCATGTTATATGTAATTTTAAGGGGAAAAAACCCAAATCTTGGCTCTATAACTATGCATGACATAGTCCTATTCATTTTACATAATTACTACTGTACAAAAACATTAAGTCTTTGGCTATTTAGGGTACAAACAATTTTTTTCCTCCAATTTCCCCAACACATTTTACCTCAAACTTTTAGATTCGTTGTCTTGAGATTTAATTTTCACTTCAGTAAATAGAAAAATGATTAACTCGGTACAAAAAATATATAAAGAAATTACTGTAATTACTGTGTGATTTTTATCTCATACATTCTTATTTGATTATTCTTTTAAGGTGAATGATAACCTTTATCCTTTTATGCTATATTTCTTTTCCAGTTTATTAGGGAAGCCAATTTTTTCCTATTCCCAAATAAAAATAGGCAGTGTTCATACAGTAATTCTTGTAATTCCATGGTATGGCAATTTACTACTTTCATCTACATCAACTCTGAACCTGGGATCTATACAGGTTTCCCAGTATTAAGGGTTTAACATTCAATCCTATTATATGTTTGTGCAAAAGCTTTATTCAAATCAATGGGACTAAGTTCCAGGTAAATATAAATACTTATTTCAACTATTTCACTTTTCCAAAATCTTTACAATAACTCTTGATGCAGATTCTTAGCTATGACTATTTTTCAAATGGTGTTTTTAGAAACTATAAAAATCCATTTATCATTCAGAAAACACAAAAGGTTTATCTTTAAATCAAAGTTCTAGTCATTTATCACAATAGATAAATGGTATATTAAGGGTGGATGCTATTTATATATTTGTATTACATAATAAATGAGAAAATGCAATAGGCAATTTGCATTTCATAATCTGGTGCAGCTCATCCAAAGTGAAGGGCTGTAGAACATTTATTATATTATCAGACAAAGAATGCAGGATTAAAAACCTGACAATTTTTTTTCTAATTAATTTAGTTTCCTGTTGTATTTAACAATACAACAATACCTAATTCAACCTAAAGATCATAAACACTTTAAATATTTCATTCACTTATGTCAGAGGTAACAAAACAAAACTGTCGCAAAAAGGACATGCATATTACTACTATTTTATTTGCCATTACAGTTTTATATATATATATAAAAGAAAACCAAGCACCATTCAACATTTAAATAACTTTTATATATACAGTTTTAAAGTACTCCCAAATGTAAAGTTTTTCAAAATAATAAAGGTTCCCATGCTACTGCATTTCCATCTTTACCTCATCTTCAAAACAAAGGAAAAATAAAGGAAAATCTTGTTTCTATACCTGATCAGGTACAAGCCAGAAGCAGTATCAGCATTCATATCAGTTACTCCACAGTCAAGTATTTAATATATACATTCAGACATACACGCATGTGTTTGTATATTTATATATGCATATGTGTGTGTATCCATACACATATACCCATCAATCCGCAGAACCCCAAACATCATTTTGAAAGTCTGATCAGGTCTGACGTGGACAACGCCCAGAAGGAATCGGAATGCCTAAAATTCTATGTCTATCTTCATATTCATCAGTATCTGTTGAGTCTTCCTCCTCATCCATGGTACAATCATTGTGATTGGTTTCCTAAACACAGGAAAGGCAACATAATTTAAATTTTTAGTTTCTTCAGTTTAAAGAACCACCCTAGGATTGATAATAATAACAATAATTATTATTAGTTTTGGTGCCTTCAAGTCAGTGTTGACTCCTGGCAACTACCTGTACTAGTTCCTTCAGTTTTCTTGGAAAGATTTTTCAGAAGTTGCTTGCTATTGCTTCTTTCTTAGGGCTGAGAGTGAGTAACTGGTCAAGATTCCCCAGCTGGCTTGGTGCCTAAGGCGAAATTAGAACTCACAGTCTCCCAGTTTCTAACCTGGTGCCTTCAATCATGACACCGAACTGACCCTCTAATGTTTATATTACCATCTCCATAAAACACAATAACAGAAAAATAAAGAAGTTAATATATATAATATCTCATTTTTGCTTTTTGTGACGTCCATATACTTTTATCTTGTTTTCCCAATGGGCAGGCTAAATATTTGACTAAATTCTCACTACTGCCATATTCTACATATCAAATAATAATCTAAACAGAACATTTTAATAGATATCCCAAACAAACTGTAATTTACAAAACTGTTGAATATACTGAAAAATCACTACTCAGTTATGTACAATATTTAATTGTCAATTAGGTAAAGTGCTTAAATAATTGGGACTGAACATTCTGTTGCCATGCAGGTAAACAGAAAGCAAAAATGAATTCTTGACAAAATAGTATATGAATCTGAATCAAAATTTAATATTCTGTTTCCTAATCAGCTAATTCAAGTTTTGTCGACGGTCCAATGAGTAAAATATTCATCCACATCATTTTTTATTAAAATAGTGTCTATGATCTTTTATTCTTTATTGGAATGTTTTTAAATATTTTATGAACTCTGCCTTAATAATTTGCAGAGAATAATGTTAATCAGTTTTTTTAACAAATCTGCTTCTTTTTTATTTCCACCATTATTAGAGTATCTAAATTAATACAATATAAGTTTCCGTCACTAGAAATGCAGTCCAAAACAATTCTGTCAAAAACACATTTCATTTTCAGCTACTTATGTAAGTATCATTGAAATTATATATTAATCCTTTATCTAAAATTCATCTTGCTGGATTATAAATACTTTTAAATGAAATTACACAGCCCTGGATTTTTGCAATAATTGTTAATAGATTCTCCATTCTGCATGTTCAACACATATTTACCATCTGAAAGCAAATTAGATTGTTGAATATCCAATTTAAAGTAAACTAGATTATGACTAATTGATTCTGAAAGCTATGAATTGAACCCAACTATGACCATCCTATGATGGAACAGGGAAGCTGGAGGTAAGTTTGATGAAAGCAACAAGAACTCTGTTCATATAGGATGTTGCCTTGTTTGGTCATTTTTATGCAAAAAGAATACTATTTTAAAAATACAAGTCTACTAGTATTTAGGGACTAGATATAAAAATTATTGTCTAAACCAAGTTGCTTCAACTTACCATACGTGCTATGGATACTTTGAATGTTGGGCAAACCATGTGAAACCTAGGAATGGTAACATTAAAAAATCTATCTTTGTAGTATAGACAATGGAATGTATAATATCCTTCCATGTATCCTGATGTAGTAGCAAATGTAGTACAACTAGTATACTCATAGACTCGACCAGGACTAATTATTGGAAATTCTCCTGCAGAAATAAAATGATTAGAGAACTTTAGAATCAAGTATACATAAAGTAAGGCCAAATTATATGTTAGGAGTAAATAAATTATTTAAAAATATGATTCAATAGCTTGTAACAAATAGTGGCTTGAAACAAATGTCATGCATTTCTTACGGATCTCCTAGTTGATATATGACAATCAGAATACTGAAATTTAAATTTAATCTGAACATGGATGTACACGTCTTGGGAAATAAATTCTAGACTGAGATACCACAGCAGCTTGTGTTTTTTTTCTTTAAACTAAACAGCCAATTTAATCAAACATCTTTATTATTTTGAGCAAATTAAGCAATCATTTCTTCATTTAGTCAACATTTTGAAACAATATCCCTTACCTACTACTCCAGGACCCTGAACCTCCTCCACATCACCTTTGGCATTTGTTATTCTCCAATACCGGCTATCTAATTGACAAGCCTTCTCTGGAAGTGCATCTTTGGACATCTCAATTCTAATAAATTAGACAAAACACTTCTTTTAGAAATGTGTCATTTACACAACAGCATAGCAGCATTGTCCAGAAATATTAATTTTTGATTCTTGTGGAAATATTTTTGTAAAGGAAGCAGAACGTATGCTATCTACATATCAGCTTATGAATGTAATGTAATGTGAGAAACATAGGCATTTTAAGAAGAAAAAACAATTTTTTAAAAAGAGAAAGTAAACAGCAGACATTTTGCTTTTCATACACAGTATACAGCATCTCGTATTCCACAGTGATACAATAAAAACGGCTGAACATTTCTTAAAAAAAATATCACCTAAGAAAAATATATTTAAAAAATAGCCAGAAGATATGTATTCCATCATGAGCATTCTGTGATAAAATGGCTACGATTTATGTAGAACTGTATTATATAACCACATATTATATGAGGCAATAAGAAGAATTTTCCTATGTAGATACAATATTTTGATTGTATTGGAGATGCAAGTAAAGTTTAAGAAAAAGTACACTAAGGAAACCAACCTGACACTTGTGGACACAACATGTGATTATTGCAGGAAAAAAATACTGAACCAGAATGGTTTTCAGACAAACCTCTGTATTCTACACTGCAAAACAAACCCAAAACTTAGTTTGGATTCTCAAGCGGTTCTTTTAGAAATCAACATTTGCACATTTTTTTTTCAATTATTCTTAAAAACATTTTAAATATATAAAAATGTTTTTAGTAACTAAACATGTAGTAACACACTGATCTGGCTGTGAAAGTTGAACCATAAGAAAGGCTGAGCGCCAAAGAATTGAGGCCTTTGAACTATGGTGCTGGAGAAGACTCCTGCGAGTCCCTTGGACTGCAAGGCGTTCAAACCGGTCAGTCCTAGAAGAGATCAACCCCGACTGCTCTTTAGAAGGCCAGATCCTGAAGTTGAAACTCAAATACTTTGGCCACCTAATGAGAAGGAAGGACTCACTGGAGAAGGGCCTAATGCTGGGAAAGATTGAGGGCAATAGAAGAAAGGGACGACAGAGAATGAGATGGCTGGATGGAGTCACTGAAGCAGTAGATGTGAACTTAAATGGACTCCAGAAGATGGTAGAGGACAGGAAGGCCTGGAGGAACGTTGTCCATGGGGTCGCGATGGGTTGGACACGGCTTCGCAATTAACCACAACAACAACAACACACTGATGAATCCAATAACACGATTGTACTAATTTTACCTGATTCTGTAAGTGAAGAAGTAATGAGGTGGATGCACAGAGCTGAGTTCAGGTAGGAAAGATGTGGAAACTGAAACAGTAATATCTCCAGTTTTGGCTACACAATCTTTTTCATGAACATATCTAGCAAATGAAAAAGTAAAATGTTCTTATCCGACATGTAAAGGAATAAATACTGAAAGATTAAAGCCAACATTATCTGTTTTAAATAGTGCATTTTATACTTTATTCAAACCTGTATTAAAACATCTGCTATTTCTACCGTATTCACATCTAAATGTTGTAATGGGTATTTCCTCACATCTGCTTTCCATCATTACAAATTCTTATAAATATCATGAAGTTATTAGTTAAAACTAGAACTGGAAATCCACGTTTCCAAGAGCAGCTACATCGGCCATTTAGAGAGCTGAAACGGTAGCTACTCTAGAATCACTTCAACTGTACAGCATGCTTTCTTGTCTGTACAATTTTGAAAACCCTGCATAATCAGTGTGGCTCCCAACTTAATGAGGAAGAGCAATCACAGCAATGACTTATAACAAAAATGATAACATAGTAATTATTGTCAACATTACATTCTTCCATTTCTAATGCTGATAATTCAATCTCCAAAGGCCTTCTAGAAAGCCACGTTTTAACAAATATCCAGAAAGTGATGATACGTAGAGCCATTCCCATCCTATTCTTGCTGGGATGGGAGGGCAGGTAAGGGCAGGTAAGGGCAAGTTATTTCAGAGAAAAGAAGCTTCTACCAAGAATGACTGCCTGTAATAACCTTAGCATAACTTTTGTTTAGCACAAAACAATACAAGTCATCCTCAACAGTTCATTTGGCATCCGTCCAAAGTTACAACGCCACTGAAAAAAGGGACTTATGATCATTTTTCAGAGTTATGACTATTGCAGCATCTTCATGGTCATGTGATTTACATTCAGATGCTTGACAACTGACTTATACTTATGATGGCCGCAGTGTCCCAGGGTCATGTGATCCTCTTTTGCAACCTTCTGACAAGCAAAGTCAATGGGGAAACCAGATTCACTTAACAACCGGATTACTGCAGTGATTCCATTAACAAATATGACAAGTCATAAAATGGGGCAAAACGTAATTAACAAATTTCTCACTGATCAATAAATTTTGGGCCCACTTGTGGGTGAAAGTCGAGGACTACATATACAACAGGAAAACATTTTTTTAACAGAAAAAATTCCTGCCTTTTTTTGTATTACGGACAAATGATAAATGGGTTTTTCATTGAAAATATTATATTATTTAAAGAAGATTAGAATCATTTTCTACGATGTAGTAAAACGAATTTCTCTCAATAGTTTTGTATATGTTATTAACACTTTTCAGAAAACGATGAAGCTTTGTTTCTGTAATCTGTAGTACAAAAACTTTGCTTTCTCCTTTACATATATTATACCTAAATACTGTCAATATTTACAAGTTTCGGTTGTTTTTTCTTAATTACAATAAAATATAATATTGTATACTGCATTGTAGCAGTATTTTACTGTAAACTAAAACTATAAATACCTGAAAATCTGGTCTCGGATGATTGGATAGCCACCTGTTATTACATTATTAACGTAGGAAGTAAACCACTCCAAATAGGAATTACCTAAATGTTGAAGAACGAAAAACAAGTTTACAAGGGGGGAAAAAAAGGATCAACAGATTAGATCTTCAATAGAATCTAATCTCAGATCTACCTTGGAATAAATATATTGTCTCATTTGATGGACAACAAGCCAACTATAAATAAGCTAGGTATCTGATTAAACTGATACAATATTAATAATTTGTGAACCTAAACATCAGAATGACACAGTAAAGACTGAATAGCTCACTCTTTATATAAAACAGTAAAAGACATCACTGGAGCAGAAAGATGGATTGGAAATCAGTTTTCAAAGACTAATTGTCTGTAATCACCCAGACAAAGTTTTAGAGTAGGGAATACATGCTGAGAATAGTGGATCCATATAATTTATTTCCTGACACTGTGCTTAAATAGCTGCCAATCAACTTTCTCCAATCAGATGAGTTTCAGTTATGCTAGAATATAATCTCATCTGTAGCTGATCCAATAGTTGACTCACTTTATTTACTAGGAGGAAAGCTGCTGTAACGACACATAGTAATAAATCAGACATGTTGAGCATCTGTTGAGAATAAGCATGTTGCTCATCATCCTAATTAGTGTCTTCCCTTTATTCCTCTTGAAAATGTTTCTCCATTAGAGTTCCAAAATATATTTACCTGTGATAAACATATCAATTGCAGATGGATTACGGGCCATTTGATCCTTCAAATAAAATGAAAAAGGTTATTTCGATCCTAAAATAAATATTTTTAAAAGGCAAGACTTATACTACATAAACAGCAGATTTCTGTCACGTTTTTATGGAGTTTTAGTTCTGTACTCTCTCTTTTTAAAAAAAGTGTGTTGTGAAAATAGATTGTTTGCTACTAGTATTTGTAATAATTTAGCAAACTAAATTGGAAAATTTAATTTTGTTATTTATCAAAAAATAGTTTGAACAATAAAATACATGAATTAAACCCTTGAAATTCATAACTTTTAAAATATCACTATTCTAATTTGAAGCAAATTAAGATATCCTGCTAGGATGCAGCCTATTACACTGACATTTCAATCCTAAAACAAGCATAGTCATATTTTAATTTAGAATATGCTACTGAGTTGTACTATTACTGTATATGTAACTTTACATCCAAGATTTATAGTTTAAAATACTGATGCAAAAATCAATTAATTACAAAGGAGAAAAAATTAAGACCTTAGTATTTTATAGATGGAAACGTTTTATTATAATATATTGGGGAAATGAAAGTTCTGGTTTCAGGAATTCTGAAAGAGGGATTTCTCCTTTTAGGGGAACTAAAAACAGGATGTACTGGCAAGCAAACCAGATGTGATTTTCACAGTGTAAAAAGAAGTTACTGGAAATTTATCTTGAATAAATTCAAAACATAAGAACATGATAAATGAATATTCTTCTACCATTCAGCAAAATCCTTTGTTATCAAGTATTTACAAATTATCTGATGCGAAAATGACCGAACTGGTTATTATATCTTAGCATAATAAAGAGGTGGTACTTTGATTTTTATTGTACTGCCAAGCAATAAATTACTATAGATAAATCTTTATGCCAATATTTATAAAATCAGCAGAACATTATCATCTACAATTTTTTCAGGTTATTCATATAGCCAAACATTTCCAAAAGTGTAAATGTTCTTAATATACTAAATAAAAACTATAGCTATAATTTGCCAGTCTATTCCTAATCACCATGCAATATTTTATTTCTGATCATTTTCTACTCAGTTCTCATCTAGTAGCTCCTCTGACTGTTGATCTTGATGCAAAAGATTTTTCTCAACAGCTTAATTAATTTTCACTTTTCTGACAGTCGTTAGAGCCCTTGCTATCCTCTCAAACCTGTTTCTTCTCCACTAGTTACAACTTCTAAACATTCATGTGATTTTTTGCCACTGATGGAAGGGGGGGGGGGGTGAATCAGATGAAAAAACAGCTGACTTTAAATATTCTACACAAAGAGTCAAATTACACCCATGGTCATGTATCAATTCCATGAAGTATGTGAGCAGCATTATTGCTGTCTAAAAATCTATTTACAAATATTTCTTACTGGACATTGGTAGAAGATTTCATACTTATTGCGACCCTCCACGCTTTCCAGAGCCATATATTGACTCAATCCAGTGTGAATGCAAAAGGTTAAAGGAAGGCATTGCTTCAGTCCTAGTCGCTGCTGAAAACCCCCAGCTGCCGTGTCAATGTCCAATAAATCTTCAGAACGATAGTGATTGGAGAGTGCCATGCTTCCCATCAACCTTTGTATTAAAAAACAAGTTTTAGAATACGCTTATAAGAACATGAACATTTTTTTTTAATTATTGTGCATAAAATTAATCCCAAAGAGCAATTACAATGAATCTTAATCTCTCACCCTGGGACAACCAGCTTCTGTCCATTATGGATTCGAAATGAACACCGATAATCATCAGGTAATTGGCAACCAATCTGTGCCTCCACTGCATCCAAATCATCTTCCTGAACACTGTCTGCCATATTAAGAAGTTACAAGTTTTCATTCATGACTTCACACAATATAAACAAGCAACAATCTAAGACCCAATACTAAACAGCCCAGCAAGTCCCATGGAAGTCAGCAACTCCGATAATTGTGTTAGGTTCATCTTCAGAATGTAAAAGGGGCCTTGTAAAGCACTTTGTAAGCTGTGGAGGCACAAGTGGAAGTTTCTAAGTCTATCTCTGTGTTCATGTGCATGCAGCACTGCAACGTCCCTTCACACTGAAATACTTGCATTAATGATTTCAGGAGAAGTGCTTCATTTGTGCTCCTGAACTCTTCAGAGCATCTCTTTGGGATGCTTTGCACATTCCTATAAACCAGAAGTGATTAAATTTTTTTACTTGCAAAATAACTACAGGTAGTTCTTGGGCTACAATGGCAATCATGACTGGGATTTCTATCACTATGTGATGTAATAAATACAATGTCACATGACCACATAGCTTAACAGCAGCAATCTTGGCAGTCCTGGCTCCTGTTGTAATTTATTATAATTATGATGCTCAGTATAATTGTTACTGAGTTTCTTATATATAAAATGGCAAAATTAAGTTCAAAATTTGGAAAGAAAAATCAAAGCTTTCCAAAATATCAAGTATATTAACAATACCTTTCAAAGAACTAATCATCCGAGGACAGTGCTGCAATAAATATTTTTCCAAATCATCCCAGGCTTTTTTAATTGCAGCATAATATTGAATATATCTTCCCAAATCAGCATACAGATCTATGAAAATTGCTTTCCAGCTCTTAGTTCTTCGAGATTTCTCAGCACTAAAAAAAATCAAACATATACATACATTTTAAAAGCAACAAGTGGTAATACAAATGCTACATTTATACATTATATACACTGACACCATAGATAAGATCAGAACAGCTATTTCAAAATTGACATTTCATTAATCTGAGCCTAAAATAGTTATTTCTTGCTAAACGTGTTGAACTCAAAACTTTCTATACTCCATTAAGTAAAGCAAGATAGTTTACAACAGACATATCAAATTTGCGACATCACGTGACGTCGCGCAACGTATCGGAACTTTTTCCCCACTGCCGACAACGGGGTGGGCACAGTTTCATTGTGACACATCCGGCCCACGGGATGGCAGTTTGACACCCCTGGTTTACAAAGATAGTGAGATCAGTCCAGATCTATTGACTACAGAAACACCTGGTCTACCCTAGCAAATTTAAGCTATTCTAGTACACCTGCAGAAGAACCAATTAATGTTTTAAAAATTATTCCCGAAGAATACATTTGATGTCAAATTGATATTTAGAAGCATTTCAAGTTAACTGACAATGAACAAAACCCCAATTCTTAATTCAATATTTTAAAATCTCACATTCTCTCCACGTGCATATTTATCTTCTTACAACTCATACTGAGCTTAAGGAATTAACATATTAATATATCAAATAGAGGAAAAACTCTATGTAATCTACAAATGACTACTTAGTACATAAGTATAGATATAAATGTATAAAAGATATCTATAAATGCTCATGTTTAAAATAATCATAGCAAATAACTCCGATGGTTATACCTAGAGGCAATTTCAAAGCCTTTTTTTTCCATATTACAGTCATTAACTTGGATTGGATGAAAATTATAAGCCATTTTTATTTTATGAAAAATCAAGCATTATCCACACTTACTCAGACAGAAGCCAGTATTTCTTACAATGCCTCTTCCATAATGGATCGTGGACTGAAAGTTGATTTAATCTACGACTTACAAAACAGCAACTACAACACAGAGATATCAGATTAAATTTAATACTAATGCTAAGGTAGTTTTTATTATACAGAAGAGAATGAAACTGAAAACCTCCCAGATTAGAAATTAAAATTAACATGTTTTATGCAGATTTTTAATACTCAATTTTTAAAAGATCACATGTAAAATTATTTAGATGCAGAGGTTCTAGATATGTATTTGTTTACTAAGTTTCTTTTTCTGAAACTTTCAGGATTCAATATTTAAAGAAATTGCCAGCACTGATTGGAAAGATGGAATTAATGACAAGGAAACATGAAAATAATTAAAAAAGAAAAATATAGATATATAGCAATATATTACTTCCTTAATTTTCAATGCAAACATATTACCCTTAGTGAATTTTCATTTATAATTTGGAATCTAAAAATGTTAAACTCAACATTTTATATAAATTTTTGTCAGCACATTGAATGCTACACCCTCAAGGAACAATCTGTTTAGTGGTGACATTAATAGTTAGAAATAATGAACCACCATTGCAGGTCTTACTAGGCTGTGACTCTGCTGGTTTTTTCTGAAAACCATTAAGAGCTATTTTCTGGCATGGGGGGTTGAAACGATTGGAGAATCTATGGCAGACATGTCAAACTCGCAACGTCCGTGATATCATGCAACGTATTGGAGCTTTTTCACCATTGCCGGCAATGGGATGGATGTGGTTTTCCGATGACGCGTCCAGCCCAGAGGCCGGCAGTTTGACACTCCTGATCTATGGTGTTCTTATTGACTGGTTTCCTCAGTTGCCACTTTTATGGTCTTTTATTTTGTTCTTATTTTATTTCTTATGGTTTTCTGTTTCTAAAGTTGGATGGACATCCAGAGTCATATTTTATAGTTCTTCCATTCACAAGTGTTTCAAAACATGTTACTTTCTCTTACAGTTTTAGAATAAGATTATCTATTATAGCTAAGTGTGGACACAGGACTGCAATGTATAGTCAAATTATGACAGGTATTGCTGCCAGATTAGCTCACAGCAACTAATCAAAAGTTTAAAAAAGAGACTGACAAAACAAAATCTGCTGAAATGAAATGTCAAAACATTTATCCTATAATTTTAATCAGATTTTCATTATACAATTCACTATTAAGTTATTTAGTGGCCAAGCTCACCACTGAGGGACCCCACTTTCAATTTTGCTTGATGTTGCTTTCCCTACATAAACACTAGATACTAACTGAAAGATAACTAATTTTTATTTTCTTTTTTTATTCACTATTTTAGCTGTCTTAATAGGGTCAGACTGTGATAGGAATATGGCAGAAAATGCCTAGTTAAATTGCTTTTGGGGGGGGGGATTTCAATAGAGGTTCTTTCCCTATTATTTTGGAGAAGGGAAGCAATCTCACATAAGAATATTTGAAAGGTTAAGTACTGTAGCTCCTTCTTTCTCCAGTCTACTGTAGGAACTGCTATGTTTTCCATTAAAAAAAGGTGATTCATTTTAAATCATCAACAGAAAATTACATCAGGACACTGGCACTAAACCCATTCTGAATTAAGTCCAGCAATTTCAACTACATCCTACAGTGGAATGCTGAGTCCCCACACTAATAAATCTACTAATTGTGTTTCTCTTTCGCAGCAAAGCCTTAAATACCGTATCACAAGGGCAGGCCCGTTTTAACACAGTGAATAATGCAAGCACCTGTTGATACATGCAAGCTTGATGAAAGAAACCTGTCCATCAGCAAAGGGAGGTGCTTGGTTCTTCGATGCCCTGGCAAGGAAAGCCTTAAGCTCTGCAAGCTCAGCCCACATAACATCGGAAATAAATGCTTCCCCAAACATCGAGGCCTCTGCCCAGCTTCCTGCCCCATGGAAAAACCATTTGCCCCAGTTCGCTTGACCTTAAGGAAACATCCCCCTTCTTTCATCACCAATCCCCATTTCCAGTTTGCCCAGAGACCCTCGGGACACCCTTCCCTCCATAAACCAAGCCTTCCAATTCCCATCCATGGGGGAGGGGGGAGGTGACGAAGCCCCCCAGCTCGCTTCTTCTCCACCTCCGCCTCCCCTAAGAGAGCACCACTGCCCTTCGCCTCCCTTCTTTTCCAATGGCTGGCGCTGCAGGAGAAAGTAAGGGGCGGTCAGTCATGCCACGGGCTCGGCCTTAGCTCCCCGTTCCCGGCGATGCCCCACCTCATCAGGTCCTTATAATCCAGAAAGCTTAGGACGAGTAAGAGTGGGTCAGTGGGCAACTGCTCCAGGCTGATGGTCATCAAGTCCTGCTCGGCGACAGCCGCCATCTTGCCGCTTGCCCTGCTGGCTCTTTGCTCCCGGCCGGAGGCTCCGCCCTTACTTCGCTCGGATTGAGCCACGTTGAAGGAAGCCCGCCCACCTCCTATTACCTGCCCGCGGGAGGCGCGTGCTTCTTTCCCTCCTCACGCGGGTTTGTTATCAAAACAAGCGAAGGGGGAAATGAGGGAGCTGCGCGGTGGAAGGTCTTAATGGTCTGAGGGGAGGGAAGCTGCAACTCGCCGGGCCGCGTTTAGTAAGTGCGGTGCCGAGAGGCCCTGGCCTATCTGAAAGAGCGCCTCGGTGCCCCTTGGTACCTTATCAGGGAGGAGCAGTTTGCGTGCCATTTTTATCTTACTAAGCCTTGTGTCCCTTTTTTTATGGGCGGCGCCCAGACTGAAATTGAGTCTGAGTTTGTCCTTCGCGTTAACCTCTGTTTGGTATGACCTCTACAAAAGCTTTCCGCTTTCAAATATTCGACACTAAGCCGTAAGTAGGTAGGTCTTGATGTCGTCCTAAAAGCATAAACTGTAGTTTAGAGAGCACAGTGGTCAAGATTCACACGCTGAAATGAAGTGTATGAGCGGAATCCTGAAACCGGTTTTTAGCTGGCAACATTTGTGGCACAGCTTTTGATCGCTTAACTGCTTACCCAAGACAGCAATTTCTATCTTTTAATACAAATTCAAGTATGTTAGCAAGGACTGTGTAATTATATAGCCAGGTGACCATTTCGTTTATTGCATAGGTCTGAACTTGGGTAACATAAAATACAGAACTGAAACTGGACTTACAACCATTCATTTAGTGACCAAAATTATAACAGTCCTGAAAACAGTGATTTATGACTGTTTTCACAGGTATGCTCATTGCAGCATCCCCATGGTCACATGATCAAAATTCAGATGCTTGGCAACTGGTTCATATTTATGACAATTGCAGTGTCTCAGGGTATGTGATCACCTTTTGCGACCTCCTGACAAGCAAAGTCAATGGGGAAGCCAGATTCACTTAACAACATGTTCCTTAACAACTGCAGTGATTCACTTAACTGTGACAAGAAAGGTATAAAATGGGGCAAAACTCACTTAACAACTGTCTTGTTTAGCAACAGGAATTTTGGGCTTAATCGTGCTGATAAGGACTGTCTGTACTTGCCTATTTTATCTGGGATCAGAATGAGCACTGATAAAATAAGTATGTACCTTTCATATATATCATTGTACACATTCTCTTTACAGATATTATTTCAACCATTCTAGTATTTTTTTAAAAGTCCTTATTCAAGATCTTGTCTTGTGAGTGAGATTTCAGTATCACAAAGTTTAAGAGCCTTTGTAATATAGTCACTATATAAGTTTAAAGATACCCATCCTTTCCTTATTTCTTGTTTATTTATTTTATTTATTTATTTATGAGACTTATATACCGCTTTAAGCACTCTCTAAGCGGTGTACACCAGTAAGCAATGTATATATATATTTACATTGCCCCCAACAATCTGGGTCCTCATTTGATTCCAAATGACAGTTTCTTCAAATTCGACTCTTATAAAACCTTCTTTTTCATGGTAAGGTTCCTCAGCTGCACTGAGCAAGCATTAGCAGTAAATGTTTTTTGGTATAATATTGTTTTAAACTATCTCTTGCATTATTGAATTCAGCCAGCCCAGTTGGATATCAAGCATTCTTTTGATGTTGCATATAATAGAGTTCCCCAACCTTTCTGGCTTTGCAGATCGATGGGGAGGGGGTGGGGGAAGAAGGGTTTGTTCTTTGCGCATAGCTCCATTTGTGCAAGTGGCATGCACACGAAGCCACTGCTCACGGATATAGAGCACACGTGCACCTGCTCGACTGCTGCTCGCGCAAATGGCGACGCATGTGTGTGCGCACTCACCCACTGTTTCCAGTCTGATTGCAAACAGCTCAGAGCTGTGACCCAAAGGTTGGGGACCCCTGGCATATAACTTCTCTTGCACTTTATCATAGAATTCCTCAATATCTTCTTCCGTTAATTCTATTGTGCAGCATACATTTATACAGATAGATCTTGATTAGCAGGGTTAATGAATTCCATGAAATGTTCTCATTATATGCATGAACCATTGAAAGTGATTTCTATGAAAATAGGGTAATTGGCTGCAGCTCAACGGAAATAGGCAATTAAAAATTTAAATATAAAGTTTATTTAGGTTTATTAATGAAATATTATATAACAGCAAAAAAGGAAAAACCGACCTGTTTTTTTTTCTTCTTGTCTTTTGGTGTACTTAAGATGTTCAAGAGGACTTTAGTTGATTTATATGGTACAGTAGTGCCCTGTAATTATAATAGGCTGTTGGTTGTTTCTGAAATGTTTTGATTTATAGTCTTATTATTTTCATAGCTTTTGTTGATTGTGGTATTGTGGTTTGAATGGTCAGACATTTTTTTTGATAAAGTATCCGTTTTGTTGGAAGCTGTGGTATAAGCAGCATGTTTCCTTTTTCTGGTATTCTTGGTTATTGCAGTGCAGTTGTACTCATCTGAATAATGTTCTCCCTCTGCTCCTCTTCTAGGAGGCTGGGTTGTTACTTTGGTAGTGGAACACTTGGTTAATCTGTTGGGTTGTTTTCTAACACAGGGCTTTTCAATCAGTGGTACGGGTACCACCTGTGGTACATTGGCACCTGGCAGGTGGTAAGCAACCATCCTAGAAAAGTGATAGCGGGGAAGGGGAATGAGCTGAACCGGTGGCAGCACCACACAAGCCTGAGTGAGAGATGGCTGGAGCTGCAGGGCTGTCAGAGCTCAGTGGAAGCGCCAGGATCAGTGCCAGGCTCCAGCTGGAGCTCGGCGCTGATCCTGGCACTTCTGCTGAGCCCAGAAGAAGCGCCGATCAGCTGGAATGTTGCAGCATCTCCAGGGTCTTGTGCTTTACATTCAGATGCTTGGCATCTGATTCATATTTATGACGGTCACAGTGTCCCAGGGTCATGTGAAGTGACCAAAACCTGTTGCAACTACCCAGCAGATGGGGGGAATAAAAACCAAACACCCCACCCCATCCCCGCTGCCAATCCTCAACAAAAATGCTCACAACAATGAAAACCTCAGACAGGAGGAAGAGTGCTACCGGGTGGGCAGGCAGGTGTCTTGCTAGGCTGTGGTTTGGGGGGTACTTTTTTCAGTGCCATTGTAACTTCGAACAGTCACTAAGTGAACTGTTGTAAGTTGAGGATTACCTGCACTTCATCACTTTTTTCCTTTTTTGGGGGGGGGGTCATCAAGTTTTTGACACCTTGCTAGGCAACTGGTGGTACTCGGATGTTGCCATATCCTAAAAGTGGTACAATGGGTGAAAAGCTCGAAAAGCTCTGTTCTAACAGACTTGCATTTCTAATTTGCTGTCATTTTCCTTGATGATGATGATATCTAGGAAGGGTAATATGTTGTCGGTTTTTTCATATATCTTCTCTAGTTCCTTTTTTGTTATTATGAAGGTGTCATGTACACACCAGATACATACTTTTGTTTGTATGTGTGAGAGAGTTATATGTTAGATGTACATAAAAACCAGATCTAATACTTGGTCATCTATATGTGTCAGACTGCAATCACCTGAAACAAGCTTTTGGTTGTCATGGTGGCCATAAATTCATGAGGAAGTCTAACTTTTCCAGAAAGACAAAGTTGAAATCCCTCAGAACTAAAATCTGTCCAGTAGCAACCCTCTGACAAAGTCAAGCAACTCAGGAAGAAATGATGCTGTGCAAATCTTTAAAGACTTGAAATAATATGAAGTTATTTGTTAGCAATGTGCATGCAGTTCTGGGAAAAGGCACTGCTACTTTTAATGCAAAATTTTGATTAATATAAGGTACAGGTATTAGATGAAGCATATCATGGTTGTCAGTTGTATATACTGGATAACAATTTAAGATCTTGGTGTTTATTTCTTCTTATATGAAAAAGAATCTGTAGATACCCTTTTGACGATCCCTCTATTAATGGAAACTCATGTATTTGTTATTGGGGAGAAGGACATATTCCCTAGGTTATGGAATTCCCTTCCAAGGAAGTGTGCTTGGTTTTCACTGTTAGAAAAATGGAAAAAAAGTAATGTTCTCAAAAATTTTAATGGTTGAATTGATATACTCAATTATATATAAAATAATTTAATTTTGTCTTAGTTCTAGTTATATTGTTTTATATTGTTTTGTCTTTTTTCCCTTTTATTGCCATAAGCCAATAAGTTTCAAAAAGCCGGAAAAATGGGATATAAATTTAATAATAAATAGGAGAACTCATTGAAATGTTTTATTGATGGTCTCAAAGACAGAAAAGGAGTGAGTGACAGACTTGCTTACATATCTCCTTTGACTCCCACCATTCATGGCATTCAGATGCAAGAAAACCCATAATTTCAGGGACTAAGGCTATCAAAGGGACAAACTATAGAGTAATTTTTAATTTGCATCTTTCTAAGGCTCTTCATCATGGCCACATTGAGCTTTTTGTGCAATTTGTGAAACATACACCAATGATTTGTGCTGTACTTTTTGAGAAGGAAAAGCAAATTACACTTTGCTTAAATTTTCAAAAGCAAGGTTTTATAGGATAAATTCATATCTGCTGCTAATATATTTGAACACATGCATGGAACACAAAGCTACAAGTAGTTACTCTATTGTTATATAATACAATAAATCTTACCTAACATTTATGGTGGATTTTTTTGAAATGGATTATTAGATGAGAACTAGAAGAAGCCATTGTTGTTTGTGGGCTCTCCTCCCTGCAGAACCCTTCTGAAACTTGTTGCCATTTTATGAATTTAATGTGCTGGAAAGGAACGCTATTATACCCAAGGAGAGTTCCATATTATTCAGATTAATAATGAAGATGCCATAAATGAAACAAATTAATAAAAAAAACTTCAATGCTTGCTGAGAAAAAAGAGCTCTAGTGGGAAATTCTGGAGAATGATAGCTATAGAGTTACAAGTAAAGCTCAATTGTTAAATCATATCTGTTATATCATTTCCTCTCAGTTATTTTTCAACTTTTGTGATTTATATCAGGCACTGCTAAAGTACTTCTACCTTATCTCTAGAATCATAACTACAAACTTGTTTTGGAGGTTGAGGCGAATTGGACACTTTCACAATGTTGATTTTTGAACTGGAACCACAAGTTGGAGGCTATCCTGTGTGGAGAGACTTAAGTTCAAATGCAACTTTTGCTATGAGATCTCATTCTCTCTTGGCCCAATCTACTTTACAGGATTACTGTTGTGAGGGTAAAGGCAATGGTGTTCCAAATGTACAGTCAAGCAATTGGCGGAAATTGGGCTCAAATATGATTGTGGTTCTTCTCTCAAAGTCAGTAACAGGGATCAAATTATTCTTCCTTCTTTACTGTAGGGGCATGTACCTGTTAAGGCAGATATCCCCAGCCTAATGTCCCTCAGATAAATCCCAGATCCATCAACCCTAGCAAGCATATCCAAGATCCTGCTGTGGACAATAGCAGTTATAGTTTAAAGTTTCAGGTATGGAAATTTGAACTAAGAGATTGCATATCACATCCTGAAAAAGCAAACTGTATGTTTCAGTAGTTGGTCTGGACTGAATGTATGGAACTTATTTGGGCAATAAAACTGAAGGCTTTATAAAGGTCTCAGATTATTTTTTAACATTAATAGGCAGTAACATTCAGCAAGAAGTTAAGTGTAACTTTATTTAAAATTGATTCAGTTTTATCTAATTAAAATCAAATGGAATTTTATATGCTTTGAAACATCTGAAATTATAAAGTGCCGAGCCTTAAGGGTCCTTTCAAAATGACAGAAGAACAACATAACTTAAAGAAAGAAAATGTTTGAGTTCCGGTTCGTGGCATCTCTAGTCGCACAGGGAGACTTGCCTCCTCGTCAGCTAGCTTTCCTTCCGCCGGCAGACCCTTATGCAGGTCCAAAGTCGCCCTGGAGGATGCAAGTTCTGTCGAGGAGGCTCTGCTCGGGTGCTGAGGAGCGGCGGCTCCTTTAGCAATCCGAGCTATCTGAGGGCTGACGGAGAATATCGGCCAGTAAAATGGCCGATCACCCTGCTGGTTCAAACCGCAAGTCAAAGAACATCTAAGCTGTAAGAACCCCTGTGGTGAATCCGGGTGAGACCTTTCTTTGTTATTCTCTCTGTTCTATTTTGTATTTGATACCTGAAAGAGCCTTGTTGGAATTACTTCCCTGGCTTGAAAAGGCAGCTTCTACATTTTTGGGGAAGAAAGGCATTTTATAAAAATAAAACAAAATTTTAAAGACTATATTTACTTTTATATTTTTGGGGGTTTCTTTTCCTTTCCTCTTTTTTTAAGAACTGTACTATCATCCTATCCTGGAAGATTATTTCTTTTTCACATTATACTTTAAAAGATAGAAAAGGAGAAATGGTGTTTGGAAAAGACCTTTTTTAACCTACTGAGGACATCTAGTGGTAAAAAGTTAATACTGCAACTTCTGGTTACTTGATTTGAAGATAGTGACCTTCAAAACACCTTTGAAGAGGAAAGATAAGCTGGGGAACTATGGGAACTATGGGGTGGATATTGCCTAAATTATACCAAATATAGCCTTCACAAAAAAGAAAAGAGAGACTCTTTTTAATCACTATCAAAATGGTCACAATTAAACTGTACACTTATATTGGAAAAGATCTATGAGGCTACTGCAGAAATATGTGCTACAATGAAAAAGTTTACTACAGAACTAAGATCCAGAAATTTCACTTCAAATGTTCAAATGGATGTCCAGGTTACATCTGACTATGGTATAAATCAAAATATATTAGAAGAGGAATCAACAGAGATAAAAGAGGAACTTATTCTATCTTACAAAACCTTCCATCTGCAACTTTGAGGAACAGAAGAAGCAAAGACTGAGATTTCAAATTACAAAGCAACGACGCTTCAAGGAGGAGAGAAATAGACGTCTAACGGAGAGGATGGGATTTCTACTATCTTAAAGGCTATTGCAATCAACAAAGATAGATCCAATGGCTGAAAGGGAAGCGTCCCTATGGAAACCTTCTTGGCACAGGAAAAAAGCCAGAATTAGACTGAAAAGAGAAATTTAAAATGTGTAATGGATTAAAAAGCAATGTTGGATTTATGGTTTGTTTTAAGGATTATGATTTTAGAGTTAGAAGCAAGAAAAAATATAAACATATATACATGAGGATGATTTTTAGAATGGATATTTTAAATAGATTAATAATACTTTTTGGAATAATAGATATATTTTGATGAAAATTATATAGGAATTGAAAAAATGTTGATTTTTTAGATTGGGTTGGTTTTAATAATTAATGGAGTGTTTTAACTTAGATGATTTTTTTGTACAATAACATAGATGTGATAAGGTATGATAATCAGTTGGATAAAATTTGAAGTTTGTGTAATGAATTGAAGTGAATTAAAGTTTAACATTATTTTTTAACTAAGATAGCTATTGCGTAATGGAAGAAGAAATAAATGAGATTGGTGATAAAAGGAGGGATGAGAGAAATTAAGAACTAGAATACGTCTGGAAGGGATACCTGAATTGATAACTTGTTGATTTAAAGTTAAATTTGATTTTGGTAATTATAAACTGATAAAGTTTTAAAATAGGTTTAGTAATAATAGAAATTTAATTTAGAAATGGAATATTTTAAACGTATTATGTTATATGAGGGAAATAGAGAGGAGATAGTGAATGTATTAAGTTGAGTTGTTTATTTATGTTTTTACTTTTGAATGTCTGATTACCCAAACACCAAGGTGTGTCCTGAATACTTTTTCTTAAAAATTAAAAAACCAATAAAATATTTTTTTAAAAAAAGAAAGAAAATTTATTTATAGGTCTTTTTAGATACAGAAAATAATGGTCTATAGGACAAAAATTGGTTTATCATGTGCTAGTCTAATTTATGTAAGCCTATCTTTAATTTAAATTATTCCATAATAAATATATATAGTCCTATAGTAAACCTCTGTCTAAAGTAATTTTCACTGATTATTGCATAAATTATTTTTGTTACAGAGCAGGTATGAAGTATTTCATTTTATTACAGAGTAAACAAAAAGCATGAATTGTCCATTTGATTTTATTTGCCTGCACTGCAGCCAGCAATCACCAAAAAGGTAAAATATTAAACTAATATAATGTATGTGGAGATGCTAACTATACATTGTTATACTGTACCATGCTAGCACTTTTGTAGATTACTATTTAAATGTATATGTTTTGAAGTGACTAATTATTGTGGATTATAAGTCAATGTAATCAATTAACAGGCTTAATGAATTGTTTTCTTTTTAGACTTAGATCATAGGCAATCTATGTGTACTCTAGCATATATTTGAAAGCCTAAAATTTAGGATGAAAATTTATATATTAATGAAAACTTATTCAGGAACAGGAAGATAATATACATAATACCCAAAGTATTTTTAATTTGTGATCTATATTATTAGAATGCAATTATACAAATTAATGTTTACAGTATTCTTTTATAACCACTGTATGCTATGAATTTGGCAGATTGTATTAAGTTTTGTGCTGCCGTATGCAGAATTCAAATTATGTGATCTTAGGTACAACAATTTTGAGAACTCGGTGTTACCTTGAGAAAGGGAACAGGGACACAAAGACAGCTATTTTAGACAACCTTATGTTAATAACTGCTCTAAATTTATGCTGTCTATTTAAAAGTTTCATTATGTTTCGATATGGTACATTTTCTCCAACCAAGGAGACAGAGGGAAAAGTAATACTGCAGGTAATGCTCTTATCTTCAAAGCATGACATTGAATAATGGGGACAATAAAAAAAGGATAGGCTTTTAAAACTTGTATTGAATTCAGACAAAATATAATGTAATCCAATATTCGTGTCTGTTTCGCTTTTAACTGATTTCATTTAGTAAGGCTTAATTAGCAGTTTAATGAAATTTTTAAAAATGGAGTTTCTCCAAAATAACTTTGTACTGCTAGTACTTCTTTTTTTAAATATTTTTTCATACAGATCTATGGAAATAATTAATGATTCATCATGACTTTGCAATAACAAGTTTATAGAGGAATGCAATTCATGTTAAATTTAATAAATTCAGTAATCTCAGAGACATATGAGGATAGCTAAACCTGTGAAAAAATCTTATTTTTTCCCTAGAAAACTTGCTTACTATATTCACACAAAATGAAAATGACCGTCTGCCAGGAAAGGAGAGCGAGAGAGGGAGAGAGGGAGGGAAGCAGAGGCAGAGAGAGAGAGAGAGAGAGAGAGAGAGAGAGAGAGAGAGAGAGAGAGAGAACCTGCGATGTGCCAGCTTCCTTTTCTTGCCAACCTAGGCTTACTAACTCTGGCTGAAACCAATCTTGCCCACCATAATTCATAAACTGTGCAGGTGACATCCTTATCTGTTTATCAATCCATAATTCAAAATGGATAGGCCCAGGACAAAAAAGAAATAGAAATAACAGAATTAAAATTAGTTGACTATGAAATTCCCATCAGCATATCCCAAATATTGTCCCTCTGATTCACAAACCTTTCTTTTGGTCTCTGTCACATTCACATACACACACACACACAAATACACTTCTTTTAATAAAAACACTAGCAAAAAATAATAGCTTTGAGGGCATACTTAGAAGGGACAGAAAGTGGAATGGAATGGAATGGATAAAGACAAAGAGTATGTATGTGGTAACTGAACAAGAAAAGAGAAAAGAGAGAGAAGCCCTATTATGGAATTACAAAAGGATTAAAATTCACAATGGAAGCATCTTCTCTGAACCAATGTACAATTTTTAGGAGTCCACTTTTTCAGCAGGCACATTTGCAACCATCTCTGCATTCTAACTATTATTTTTTTTCAATAATTTGAATTCTTTTAAGCTGATCTAAGACTCCAACTTAAAGGTAAAGTTCGGAGGGCAGAGGAAAAAATCTCTTATTTGGTAAATAAAATATTTCTGGAGAATGGGTGACTTTCTCTGTTTTTTTTTTTTCCCTCCAAGAATGTATGGGATATCAGAACTTTAGACTTGCTGGCAAAATTGCTTGGCTATACTTGGTTTTAGTACAGATGTAAATGGTGACAGATTGGTTAGTAACAACTAGACCAAATAAAATATTAGGGGTCTAACAAATTTTACAAATTTAAGTACAGTGCCCAAGACAGTTTAGATTGATTTAGATTTGAATCTGTTCAATTTCAATTCCACTTTCTTGTTCAATTATGTTTGTTTCACTGAAAACTCCCATCATACCGCATCAAGGCATTGTTTCTCTAAACAATGGGTAGAGCTTCCACTCCACAGTAAATATATCAGATTTGTTGGAAATTCATATTTTTACCATGACTTATTAATCACCATGAATTCTGCTATAACTGAACTTTTCTGCTTATATAAAATTACAAGGTTACACCAGAGTTTCTTTAGTTCTTATTCAGGAGATTGTACTAAATGAGTGACTGAACTGCACACAGCCTTTGGGCAAAAAGACAGTTGAGTTTCAGTTTCAAGAAAAACAGCAAGTTATCTCTTCTTCATGGATGAATTAAGAGGATATTAAAGCTGCATTAGGTCTTCATAATTCTGAAAGTAATGGTTAAAGAATGAATAAAGAAAAAATAATTACAATCCTAAGTATACTATGTAGGAAATGTAGTCTCACTGAATACTGAAAAATCTAATTCCTTATCAACATGCATAATAAGGCTGCTCTGGAAAGATGTGAAAGCTAATGTGCATTGCTACATGTCAGGGATCGCTTTGAAAATGTTTCTGTTCTCAAAATGCAAGAATAATATCAGAATCACACCTAAAGCATCATCTCATTTTAATAATCTAAACAATATCAGGCAGCATATGTATGGAGCATAGAGGAGTAAAATAATTCATGACTAGTCACATCACAAATTAATTAGGCACCTACAACATTTATTGCAATGCATATAGCAATCAAGATAAATAATGGCTGCATCCCCAAAAGGTTGGGGAAATTAACTTCTTCTATTATTAGGAAGACTTACATTTTCTCCTTTGAATCTATTTAATACAGTGAGATTAACAGTGTTGTTAAGTCTGTCAAAACAAAATCTGAGCTCAAAGGAAGATACTCTGTGTACAAATAAATGAGCCATACAACAGCTATATATTTATTGCACTAAAATGATAATCAAAAAAGCTGCCAGTGTATTGAATGAAAAATATCACAACTCTTAGATCAAGTCTATTTAATTAAGTCTGCAGTATCTTACTACATAAAATAATATATTTACATTTTCTAATAAAATAGTTAGAAGAACTTAAAAAATTATTGTATAGAAAGGAGTAGTGGAATTCCTCACCTTCCAACAATATTTAAAAAGGTAGCTATCCATCTTCATTATTTGAAATAATTACCATTTAAGGCTGCAGTCTTTCCTACCTTCCCAGTTACATCCCATTAACTCTCATGGATTTCACAAAGATTTAATTATATCTGATGAGGTATCATCTTTTGCACTGGAACAAAAATTGTACTTTCATTTTCAAAAAGAAAAGTATCATTAAAGGGGGGGGGAGGCTACACTTATTTGGAGGTCCTTCCTCTTCATACATACAACTCTCCTGATGCTCTTACATGTAATATTAGTGCTGGGAGTATAATCCAGATAAATAGATACAAAATAAGCAAAATTTAATTGAACAATTTTGTTTGCTAGTGTTAAGGCCACCCTTTTGCCAGAACTCTTAGGACAACAAATGCTAGATTTCTAGGGACTTGTAGACTCAATTTATCTGAAAAGTACCAGGTTAGAGAAGAAAAATCCACAAAGTTACCTATCATACTTCAGTTTAAAAGTATCCATTGTTGCTTTATATTGGTTCTCTAGTTTCAGTCATTACCTCTAATGTCAGTTTGTAATCACAGCATATTTGCTAAAAGAAATAATTTTGTCTTTTATTCAATCATCACTTATTTTGTTGGATGCAATGCCTATGTATTCTGTTCCATTTCCCCCTTAGAGAAAGCATATAGATGTGAGCAGTAACCTCACCATAGCTAAATATATATGTCACTCATGAAATGTATTTGAGACTATGAGGCACAAGTGAGTTATATCATCCCATTGATCTTAGTCCACTCGTAGATGTCTTGCTCACATACTATATCTGAGTTTATGAGAAGGTATCTGTCACCAACGCAAAAATGTTTCTGGCAAGCAGCACATTTGAAGCATTCCAGATGATACACTTTGTCCTTTACTCTCATGGTCATCTCATAGGCTCGGATTCTCTTCTCACAGGAGGCACAGAGACCATCTTGGCCAAAAAGCCTTTTTTGGGGAGAAAAAAAAGTGTCCAAGGTTAATGTTCCAAAATCCATTTTAACAAAGTTTTGACACAAAGCTAAGTGTATCTATCTGACCTTATTTTTAAGCAAATATGGATAGTCTGAAGTTCTGGGGAGAGGGAAAAGAAAGCACAAAGAGGAAACAAATTATATAGGTAGTCCTAATTTATCGACTGTCCTGATTAATTCAATTTAGTTCAAGTCCTGCCTTAGCCATGAAAGCCAGTTGAGAGACTTTGGGCCTATCCCTCTCTCAGCTCAATTCACTTTATAGGATTGTTGTGGGGAAAATAAGAAGAGAAAGAAGGATGAGCTATGTGCACCCCCTTGAACTATTTGTAAAAATAGTAAGGGTGGGATGTAAATAAATAATTATTGTTTGCAATTAATGACAGTGATAAAAAACTAAGTTTTTGATCAATTCTTGTATTTATGCTCTTTGCAGGTCTTTAAAGGATTCCTAAAGTAATATTGTGAGCACATTTGCGATTTGCTTCGCCTAACAACTGAGTTGCTGGTTCCAATTGTGGTCACCTGATAAGGACTACATAACTCTATGGACATGTCATAGTCCACAGGAGCATAGCATCCATTGGAGAAATATGGCCAGAACATCTTTACAAAACAAGCAAGCAAAAAGCTCTACAATATTTTCAACTACACCACAGCTTACTGTGTCAGCTCAGCTTTCTAATATTAAAGTAGGATCTCAAAGGAGTTTGGAAATAATTTCTATTCTTAATTTGCCTTCTTTCTGCTTATTGACCCTTAAAAATCTTCTGTAGATTGATTGATTGTTGAGTAATCCAGATTAAAATAGCCAAATTGTTATAGGAGTGCAAATTTGAATTTGATTTTAAATCACACATTTATGGAAGAATTAAGTAGAATGATAATGAGTTTGGTGTACAGATAGATCTTCATTCACATCGGTATCATATGAATTGTGGTCATTACGATAGATCTTAAAGTATTTTTACAAATAATGCTTAGTATAATGTGCCTTGTTCCTATGCACATTACAGAATAGAGAAAGAGGAATTGCAAAATTCTTCATACTTTTTATAATTCCTGGTTGTACGTTAATACAAGCAGATACAAGTAGTCCTTTACTTATGACCACCATTTAGTCTGGAATTTTGGTTATACATCATTGCAGCTGTAAGACAAATCACCATGTCAATGTACTTGACTTTACAACCATTTTAAGTGAGTCATTGTGGTTGTTAAGCAAATTGTGGTTGTAAGTCCTAATCCATCTTATAAAATGGATGGTTTTTTGCTGGAAAATGGCAAAAAATATTGCAAAATGCAGTCATGTGACTATGGGATGCTGCAACCGGATGTAAATGCAAGCCAGTTGCCAAGCATCTGAACACAACTACATCACTATGTGTGTATGATGTGGCAGTTATAACTTTTGAGGACAGGACCTAACTTTTTTTCAAGTTCAGTCAAAGTTACAACACATTTTCCCAGTACTTAGACTTGGATTCGAAGACCACACAGACACCTATTTCATGATCATGCGATTATATTTTGGGTGCTTCGCAACTGGTCCACTTTTATCACTATTTGCAGAGTCCTGCAGCTTTTTTTTTTTTTTTTGCCAGAAATTGGCATTTGTTTCTGGTTTCCAGTAGACAATGGATTCACTTAAAGACATCGTTCATTTTACAACCACAGAGTTCACTACAGTCGAGCCGTGGTTGTGCAATGGTTAGAATGCATATTGCAGGCTAACTTTGCCCATTGCCAGAAGTTTGATCTTGACCAGCTCAAGGTTGACTCAATCTTTCATCCTTCCGAGATTGGTAAAATGAGGAGCCAGCTTGTTGGGGACAATAGGCTGACTCTGTAAACTGCTTAGAGAGGGCTGTAAAGTACTGTGAAGTGGTATATAAATCTAAGTGCTATTGCTATTGCTAATATAACTGCCATATCCACTTAATGACTGCAACAAAGAAAGGTTGTAAAATCAGTCATGGTCATGTGGTGATCTGCCTGATGCCCAGCAAAATTTATGGTCATAGTTCCTGGCTCAATTATGGTTGAAAGTTGAGGACTACTTTTATATTTTTGTATTATACTGTATTCTTTTAGACATATTTTATTATATCAGTAAGATATTCTGTATGTTAACATGATTAATTTTGGAAAAAGATTTTTAATTTCAAATATTCTTGTAAACTAAACACGGGGCCAGGGACAATAGTCCCGAGGATGAAAATGATACATGTTTCTCCCTTGTCTTCCAAGAGATGTCACTGTTTACTTGAGTAAGGCAATAGTATAATACCTGTTAAGATATCAGTGTTTTTTTAAATGTCACTTTTTAGTTTGCAAGAAATTGCTAATATTGTCTTAAAAACTCCGAGACGGAGACGGAGCCTATGCTATGCTATGCTATACCAATACTATACTAATACTATACTATACTATTACTATTTGAATTACAAATTTTTAAAAAAACATGGTTGAGCAGTCAATTTCTATGAAACACTTCATTAAGCACATGAAAATAATTAACACACATTATAGTGTGAAAAGTCAGGCCATATGCAATTACAAGTTATGGAAACTTAACAGTCCAGATTTTCTGCCATCTCAGAAAATATTCAGCCAGTGGAAATAGGACAAAATCCTCTGAGGGTACTGAATTATTCTGGAAAATTGCTGCAATTTATGTTATGTAAAGCTAGTTCTTTTAGTGAAACAAGACAGTTGCTGGAAAAAAGTTTAAAATGGAACAATTTGTATACTGCTTTGAGATTTTTTTTAATAATGAGAAGTGGTACACAAATACAAAAATAAGCTAGTTAGCAGTTTTATTCCTATCCCTACACTCTGAATTAGTAAAATTTCTTGATGCAGTAATGCAATGTTAACATTGTAATTAAATATAAATTTTTTGAAATGTATTAATGTTGTGAATATTGTTTTGTTCATTTAGTGTTGGTTTTCAGCTATTCAGCTGAGAAAAAAACTTGGGGCCTTTTAAAGGCTTAGTGGCATAATGTTCATTGGAAGCACAATACACATACTAGTAGTCCTTGACTTATGACCACAATTGAGCCCAACATTTCCATTGCTAGGCAAGATAGTTGTTAAGTGAATTTTGCCCCTTTTACAATCTTTCTTGCCACAGTTGTTAAGTGAATGATTGCAGTTGTTAAGTTAGTAACACAATTGTTAAGTGAATCTGGCTTCTCATTGACTTTGCTTGTCAGAAGGTGGCCAAAGGTGATCATATGATCCCGGGACGCTGCAGCCGTCATAAATATATGCCACTTGCCAAACATCTGAATTTTGATCATGTGACCACGGGGATGTTACAACAATTGTAAGTGTGAAAAACGGTCATGTCACTTTTTTCAGTGCTGTTGTAACTTCGAACAGTCACTAAACAAACAGTTGTAAGTTGAGGATTGCCCGTGCTTAGAATTTATTCACACTATACTCTTGTCCCAGGGTATATTTTTCCTACTGAAATCAGTGGTCCACTAAATAAGACTGCATGGGGAGTACTAAATTAATGGAAATAATTGAGATTGTATAAAGGCAACTGATTAGTAGTTCTGCATTGAATTAGTATTATTGAGTCATTTTATCAATTTGAAATCCTGAGCTGTATTTTTAGCAAAGTCCAAAGCAATTGGCAACACTGTTGTCTCCCTACCCTCATGTCTTGAACATACATTTTGCTATTTAATCAGTCTTAGACTCCTAGGCCCTCTGTCATGATTCTGCCTCCTTTCCTCTTTCTGTCTGTAATACTGTCATTCTAGCATCACTTTCAAGGATTGGATCTTTTTTCACCTCACTCTCTACCAAATCAGACTCTTCTCAGGCTAATCCAGCAAAAGGCTTACTCAAGTTGGGTTTTGAGACTAGTTCTTTTCAAACAACCATATTTGTTCTTTTAGCCCAGTGGTTCTCAACCTGTGGGTCGGGGCCCCATTTGGGGTTGAACGACCATTTCATGGGGTCGCCAAACAACGCAATCCGCCATTTCCCCCCCTTTTCCTTAGCTGTGCTACTCCCTTTTATTCTATTGGCTTCAAAAGCCAATAGGAATTGTCCAGGCTGTCTCTGCCCTGCTGAGCCCACCAAAAGTCCCATTCTGCAAACGGTGCTGCAAGTTGTCTGCAGCGAAGGTGAGCTGTCTGGAAGTTTCCACCCCTCCCTGCTGAGCAACAACTAAAAATGTAAGTAAAAGAGGGCCAGGGCTGGGAGGTGGCAGGCCGGCGGGCGCAGGGAGGGTTGCTGGCGTGCGTGGGGCCCGGCAGGTGCCTTACCTCCCTTGGGCTGGGCCAGCTGCTGGCCCAGCCGGTGGTTGGCCTGCTCCATCTCTGCCGCTTGCCAGCTACGCCTCGGCCGGCGCAGGGGGCGGCACCACGCATGCGCGGTGCTCCTGGGCAGGGAAAGTCCTTGACTTACGACCGGTTGGGTAGTCCTCGACTTACAACCGGTTGGGTAGTCCTCGACTTACAACTGGTTGGGGGTCACAGCATTAAAAAGGTTGAGAACCACTGTTTTAGCCCAAGCTGAACCCAACCCGGAGCTGATGTGCTCAAATTTTGTAGGTGATCCTAGCTTTGTTCTAAAGCAAAGTTTCTCAACCTCAGTAACTTTAAGAGGCATGGACTTTAACTCTAGCTGGGAATTCTGGGAGTTGAGGTCCATGCCTCTTAAAATTGCTGAGGTTGAGACACCTTGTTCTAAAGAATTGTGAGAGAAAACTATCAGCAAGGCAAAGGGATGAGGATTACGAGTAGCTTACCTGAGATAGTCTCTTCGACAGAGCTTTCTGCCCAGTTTATAATATAGTCTCCTTCCCACTTCTCCAAGTCGGCACCCACATAAGTCACAGCTGAGACAATCTTCATGCCAGTACTGGTCAATGGCTTTCAGGAAGTATCGATCCCCAATGTTTTGCTGACAACCTCCACATGTTAACAAGGAAGGAGGGATTTGGAGCACCTCATCCACTGGCTCCCTGGTCGAAACAAACCAAAGCAATCATTCCAACCTGCAGAGAGTCTAGTTAGGATCGAGATTCTATCATCTCTATCATGCGAAAACTGGGTATAGAAGACTAGGACGTTTTCCACAATAGCAGATGAGAATGTAGCTTTGGGTATAAGAATTTGGAACTGTGACCATCTCAGCTTGCCTTTTTGTAAAAGTGGGATTGTATTCCTTCAGGCGGACACATTCAGAAATTTATAGTAGTGGTGGTGGGAGTTCTTAGAAAAAGACTGAGAGGAAAAGCTAAATAAACTTTTCAATGGTGGTGGGATTAAAACGGCTTGCGTGATCTTTAGCCATTCCTCAGTACTGCAAAAGCAGTATAAATTAAGCATTTTTTTTTAAAAAAAGCTAAACTTAACTGTATATAGTCATGTACAACTAATAAAACCCAATGTTTGCAGTATTCTTTTCTAACCACTGTATGCTATGAATTTCATTCCCTGCAAATCAATTTTACTAAAACTACAAATATTTCAGTACTTCAGTGCAGGATATAAATTGATTATAATGTACTTCATAATAAAAAGGTGAACATGCAATTTGTTGATAAACATATTTTTGCTGTATTGGTTTAATATCAGGAACACATTTTGTATTTAATAAAATGCAGACGTTTTAGTCAACTACTTATAAAAAAACAAAATCTTATTGAATAGAAACTATGTCATAGTTCTGAGCTGAGTGAAAATAGGTATCTCTAATGGTTTCCCTATGTGATCTTGTTCTGTAATAATTAAGTGTGGATTGTATAAAAAAACTCAGACTTAAAAGACAATGCTATTTCTAAAGTCTTTTTTCTATTTGCTTTCCTTTTCTACTTTGCCAAACATACAGTAGCAGTGAATATTTTAATGAATTATTTAATAAGAAATGGAGGTAAGCAATGGCATCTTGATTATGTTTTTATTACTCTATTTTAATATGGAAAATTATTTACATTGTTATTTGTCCTTAAAGGAATCCTGTAAATAGTTAAATTTTAGATTTATTTTACTAACTAGTAAGCATAACAGAATGGTTTTATAAAGTACAATTAGTGCATTTAAGATGAGTTTTATTTAGTAAGATTATTTTATCCCTCTGCAGATTTATTTGTAAAAAGCCTGTAAACATATAAACAAACACGTAAAAGAAAGAGAATGTGAATGGGCATGCATTTTGACATTCATAGATGGCCCATTCTATAATAGAGTCCTGCAAATCCTTTTTGTTTGGTACTTTTATGTTACAGACAATAATCTGCTTAAATAAATAAAAAGAAAATTAAACAACTTCATAGCCCTTGTTGATATTGTGGAATTACATTAATCACTAATCCTCATAGCAAATTCAAGAAATAAACAACAGAACCGAGAATTGGATCACTAAGAAAGGAGGGAAAGAGTTTGTGTTTAATAAAATTTTAAAACTTGAATCATTAAAATAGTGAAAGGCAAATCTAAAGGGCTGTCTCTCCCAAAGTTCAGTGAAGCAGCTCTGGAATACTGAATATTTGATTATGAAATATAGAAAAATTGTTTGTGAAAAAGGATGGTATATTCCTCTTTGATTTCATAAAAACTTACAGTATTCTGAGCAACAATATAGTATACAGTATTATCAACAGTTAGTATATAGTTATCAACAATATGCTATTTATATAATTATTTAAATACTATCTATTTCAACAAAAATTGGTGTTTAAAGTCAAATGAAATAATTGAAAATTACATTTAGCTAACAGTTCTTTGTCGACACCCGTGTGCTCTATGAAATCATAAATTTTCTAAGCCTTTGTAAAGCCTGGGAGGTTGAAGGCATTTCTGATCTCACATACTTTCCCTCTGCGATAGCATAGGGCAGAGTAGGCTGAATCTGGCTAAAGTACTGTAAAGTACTGTATATAGTAATTACTGTGATTCCATATATTTATGGGATTAACTGCAGTAGCTTCTTAGGTATTAGTAGCATACAGTATATTCACTTTGAACCCTGTGTAGCATTTTCATCATAATAAAATCTTGTAATATGTAAAAGTCCTTTCCCCAAAAACTTCCTTAGTTATCTTGAGACCTTTGAAATATTTCATTAAAGGTTGTTCTAATACTGAAGGGTACCTCTGCTATTTTCTTTCCTCTCCTTTTCTGCACCTTCAAATCAGTGTACCCAGGTGACTGTCTGGAAAAGTCCCTGCAGTTTCCTTGACAAGAATTTCAGAAGTGGTTTGACATTGCTTTATTTCTAGGGCAGAGGATGAGCTTGGCCTAAGGTCACCCAAATGGCTCTGTGCCCAAGGTGGGACTAGAACTCACACTCTTCCCAATTTCTAGCATGGTGTCTTAACCACTACACCACACTGGCTATCACTACTGATAGTGCTACTGTTATTATTCTTCTGTTCCTCCCAAATGAGCAGAAAGCAGTGTACAAAGGAGCAATAGAAAAGTATCAGTAAAAACTATTTGGTAGATTATAGGAGAAGCCTATTGTATTAGTAAGCAGCAGTTCCTTCCTCTGTAAGCTGAAAGGAGAGCTAAAGTCATGGTTAAATAAGAGAGAGGGGAAATGTTACTCTATTATCATCTTGTTACCTGCTTTGCTCCCTTGATATTCTATTGTATAGCTACTGTTGAGAATTAATTCCCAAGTGAAACACTGGCAGCCTGCACAGTCAGCAGCTCAAAGTAAGATATTTTAACACACACTTAACCTTTAGCTCATAAACCTTGAAAAGAAAAGACTCAGATTTTTAAAATTAATGACAAGTAATCATTTACATTCTAGTCAAACTGTTAATAACATTTTCTCCTTGCTTTGGCTTTATTGCTAAATATAGTTTTTATACTAAATAAGCTCATTCTGAGATTTTTTCTCTTACACACCATTTTTATCGCATATAAATGGAAAAATTAATTGGGAGGTGGTTTGCTGGATGTCTTGAAGAGAGGCTAGATAGATAATTGTCAGGGTTGCTTTAATTTAAATCAAAATTAATTTGTGCAGTGAGTAGGGAATTGATTTCAATGTACTGAATAGAAAAGTGGCCAAATAAGACCCTTCCAGTTACATTTTTTTGGCTCTATGAAAAACAAACACCTTTTCAAAACCTTTTAAAAAGGAATTTCCAGTTTCGTCAGAAAATAAATGATTAAGTATTGACAGATGCTCAAGTTTTCAAATACTTCACATTAAAATACTAATTGGTGCTATAAAGACAAATACCCTATTTAATTCCAAACCTATAAGCAACTCTTTCTATATTATGTGGTTTATTATTATTAAATCCTTTTAGTTCTTACAGAGGAGAGACTGTCCATATACATACAGCTCAGTAGTTTTTCTTTCTGAATGACTCAAAGAAAATTGTAATGTAGGACTTCATCTGCTTATCTAATATTGTACACATTTTTTTTAAAAAAACCCTGTCCCATTAGGATAGCATCCATGAACCTTAAAGGAAGCAAGTCACCTACTCAGTTCAATGAAATCAGTAACAGAAGCTACCAGTATTTCCTGTAAAGCCATATAAATAGCAGAAAGTAAAGAAGTGAAGCACTTTTAACATTTTTAGTATATTTTTTATCTTAAGCTGATACCTTTTTGTTTGCTAAGTGCTTTAAAAGCACTTTCATCCCATGATTTTGAATTCTGAATGAAATTCTCATATTTTGCAGTGTTTTGGAATATAAGTGAATCTCTTGTTTTGGTTATTTATAACTGTTAGAAAATTAGCTCTTCTCCTTAATAATAAAATCTCATTCAGTTTTATGGGCTCAAGTCTGAGTATAGGACTGCAGCCTAAAATATAACTCAGAACACTGAAGTACAGAGGAAGATAGGAAACAGGAACAATTAACAAGATGTTTTGTATATTTATATAAAGTATTTTATCCAAATGAAGTAAAACTATTGATCTTACCAAAGTGCTTTCAGGATAAACCCTGTTGAAAGCAACAGAGCTTGTTTTTCCAATGAGTTGGCGTCTGAAGTTTTTCCTACCTCTTCCATCCAAAGTTCTCTCCCTCCCCAATCATGTTACTTTAAAAAGTATATTCAACTAAAGCAATTTTCCCTCCCAGAAATAAAATGGCTGTTATCTGGTAAGAATAGCCATACAATTATGCATGCATATATACTTCGAAGTGATTCCCAAATAAGCATGAAAAAGCATTGCTGCTTTACAGCTCAAGTTCAGCGCCAGTGATTTAGTAACCAGAAACCGTAATTGCAGATACGATATCAGCATTCCTTTGGAAATCCTTGTAACGGGATCCTTGTAAGAAATTCACCAGAAAACCTAACTTAATTCTGTTAATACTTTTGAGCATTTTATAACTTTTATGCTAATCGGGAGAGGGACTCGGACTAAGAAAGTGGCAAGAAGCCGGCGCCTGGCCACTTCTGAGATAACTACAACGTGTTGTAGTTTCAAACTGGTTTGCATTTCGGCAATCGAGACGCTGAGCCTTCATCTGATAATAGCCTCGACCACTCTAGTCTAATCAGATCATTAAACAGGGCGGGCAGCGAGGAGAGAGAAAGAAACCACGCAGCCTCTCACTAAGTATTCGCTTCCCCATCTCTCGCTCGCTCGCTCTCTGAAATCGCTTTCAGCGGCCGCCAGCCTCCTTTAAACCTCCAGGTCATAAGAAGCGGCATGAATCATCCTACCGACCGCCGGTGCCCTTCCAACTCTCACTCTCAGTGGGAGCTTGCTAGCGAGTCTGAGGTCTCGGGCAATTTATCTCCCGAGTCAAAATGGGGAACTTGGGCGCATCTCCGGGGTCTGCCAGCCCTACCAAGGGGCGCAGCGCAACCCCTGAAGAAGGCATCACTGAGGTCTAGCAAAGCGGAGGGACACCCTGCCCACTCCATCGCAAGAGGGGGAACGGCGGGAGGGGAAAGCGCGTCTTTGAAAGCGGAGGGAAAGAGCAAGCGGCAGCCCCATTGTGCTGCCCTCCGACGCCCTCCTCTTCAGCCCCAGCGGCGCCTAACGCTGCGGCTCCAGGGCTTCCTCCCTCCCTAGTCCCGCACAAGGCGATTGCGTCTCCCTCCGGGAAAGTTGGCGCTGAGTAAGAGAGCCCCGAAGAGCGGCGGCGGGCACGACTTACTCGGAGGGCTCGAGGCTCTTCCTTTCGATGGCTGAGGATGACATTGGCAGGGGTCGCTCCTTTGTAGTGGCGACGGCCGTCGTGACTCTCGGCTTGTCCGCGATGAGGTCTGCCCCTACAAAGGCTGCCAGCTCCCGAATGCCTTTTCGGGGGAGGGGGCAGCAGCGGCGGCGACGAGCAGAGAGGCACCCCCACCCTCAGTGACATCCACAGGGTGGCCGCCTGTAAGGCCGAGGGAGGGGAGGGGCGGGGGGGGGCTGGCGACGCGCGGGCAAGGGCGAGAGGGACCGCGGCCACCTAGCCGCACGCGCTCCGGAGCTGTCTGGGCAGGCGAGGCGACGATCCCTTCGGAACTACGCGCCCATCCTCGGGACGCTCCTCCCGCTCGCGCTGCGCGACTGGCCGCTAGGCAGAGCCCGCTGCTATTGCTGGCGCTCGCGGCCGGCGCTCAGCTGTCACCGCTGTGCTTATCCTGGAGTCTCTTGGCTGCCTGGATTAGGTCGTCTGCCTGGAGAGGGCTTCCTGCACTGCGGAGGTAGCGCAAAGCATCCCTGGCTCCTCCGCCTTCATTATGACCCGGGTCGGAGCCGCCGTAGCTGCTATTATTGCTAATAGACGATTATTCAAGCCAACCCTGATGGTCTCTCCTCCGAGCCTCTCTGGTTTCACATCCTCTTTCCTGATCACGATTCAAATACAATGGGAGGAAATGACATTTAAAGAGACAGCTGTCTATTTCTTAACTGGACACTTGGGAATTTAAGCAAGCCTGAGCAGCAGCAGCGTTTCTCACGACTGAGTTGGTTTCTTAAAGGGCCAGACGTCTCCTGGCACGCACCCGCACCCGCACCCGTAGCTTGGGGAAGCTATCTCAGGAGTACGTGTTAGTGCTTTTTAATTTAATTCCATAGTCATTTGTGGATGATACGTGGCTCAGCAGCAAAGTATCGAAATAGAAGGTTGCGTTATACAAGTTTGCATGTCTAGGCTTTCTTAATGGCAAAATATAAAAGCAGAGTTGTTAATTCAGCTCTAAATGTACTATATTTTGGTAAGTGCTAAGGCACCCGCCCACCTCCCTGTTTGTATTTTGAATATGGGTAATCACTGAACAAATTCATTTTTTGCATATGACTAAACAATGCAATGGGAAAAATTCTTAAAAAGAAATAAATAATACAAATCAGTAGCTTATTCCATCATTTGTCCCACTGCCTTGCTCTACCCCTCCTCACCTATAATCAACTACCAAGATGGGATACATATAGTGCAGTTGCTTAGGTTCGTTGCTAAAATGATGCTTCTGTTTAGAAGTGCAGTGTGAAAATTGAATTTAAAAGGGGCTCTTCTTAATTAAAGGGGCCATGCTCTAATTTCTAGACTTCAACTAAATAAACTAATTTTTAGACTTCAACTAAATAAACATCCAAGCCATAAAGTAGTTGAGATATACTGGGTGGATTCACTGCCTGTATGTATTCCTTTAATGAAAACCAAATCTTCATTAACAACATGTGTGGTCCTCCCAGGAGTGGCTGGTGGTGCTAGATAGGTGAAGTTCTGCTGTGGGCTTCAGTGGGCCTTCAGCCTGGCTGCTAGTACCTTTTTTTCAAAACAGATCATGAGGAAACAGCTACATTTTATGAACTGGAGGGTCTTATCTGTAACTCCCAGACATTTGATGCCCATGGTGCAAACTCAGCACTGAGGGGAAAGAGCGCTGACATGCTTTAACTTGCTATCATCATTTACTAAGTCCATCTAAAAGTCATTTATAATTTCAACTTTTTTGCACTGTGGTTGAAAAACAATTACTAAACTGCTGGGGAATGAGACAGAGGGGAGAGGTATGTTTATGTGTTCATAACTAATCACCAGGGTGCTTTGCCAGTTTTTACATAATGTGCTAAAAATATTTAAACCTTTTAAGTATTTTATCAAGAAAAAAGTAGACTTTTTGGAATCGGCCACAAAGCAATGGACTATTCTTAAAATGTGTTTGCTTTCACATCAGAGCTTGCAGATACAATCATATCTGTATTTAAAGGATAAACATATATGCTATTCCTTGAAACAGTTACAAGAAACAGAGCAGTAAAAGTCATCCTGAGCTAAGGAGAAATTTGTTTGATCTAGTCTGAAGACAAAGGATTACCAAAGGTTGCTTTTGTTTATATTATGCCATTATATTGTATCTATAACCTCTAATATAAATGTAGAACTATATCTAGGAAAGTGGCTTCTTCAGGTGACCAGACCCAGGTAAAAATAGGCTACCCAGACCAGCACATCCCTATTTAATATATAAACAAGATACCTACAATAGGACCAAGCAGGGGTGTCAAACTGCTGGCCCACGGGCTGGATGTGTCATGAGGAAACGGCGCCCACCTCATTGCTGGCAATGGGGAAAAAGCTCTGATGCGTCACACGGCATCAAGTGATATCGCGAGTTTGACATGTCTGATGTAGACCAATCCAAAACATGCTGTTAAGAGAAGATGTGGAGCTTATCCCAGAAGTTAAAGTGATCAGGGATTGGTGTGATTCCCTACAAATCAAATAGAAAAAAAGCTCAATCATACAAGGAATTAGTAAAATATAAAACTCAAGAATAAATAGTTATCCTGTTAAATCAAAAGTGTTAATTTTTAGTAGTTAAATCTAATTACAGGTAGTCCTTGTTTAGTGACCACAGTTGGGATAGGCAACCTGGTGCTTAAGTAAAGGGATCACTCAGTGAAACCACAACTGTACTTATGGTCTCATTTCAGCTTTCATTTGCTTTACAGACCTATGAAGGTACTAAATGTGAGAGTTGGTCATAAGTTACTTTTTCATCCCCATTATACCTGCAAACAGTTACTAAACGAGTCAGCCATTAAACAAGACCACCTGTTTTCCAGGTAATGCTAGAAGTAGGCCTAATGATTCTTGGATCTCTCAACTCAAGAAACTAGATAGATGTTAAGTGGAAAGTCTGAAATTACCTATTACAAGAGGCTTCTTCCTAAGTAATTATATGTATGCGTATGTGCTTATATACATATATATATATTTATATCTATGTCTTTATAAGATTACAGTCTTAATGCTGTTACCAAGTGATCTTCCAGATTTTTCAACCCAGATGTGATAGTCCTATTTTCTGAAAATTTCTTAATAAAATACTAGTTTAATTTTAAAAGATCATCCAAGACATAAGAATTTCACCTTCTTTTAGAAAACTGAAAACAATCATTTTCAGTTACTTGTGGTTGCTGTGAATGGATCTTTTCATTTCTATCTGTAATATTTTTTGAATGTAGTTCAAGTTGATGCAGAGTTAGCCAGAGGAACACCCTTCATTTTCAATATAGTGGTCTTGATCCATGTGTTCAATAGCACTTAGCTACTGAAGCCCTCCCAGTCACATGAAAAACTCAGTTTCAATTTTCCTTTCCTCCTCATAGAGTATGTGCACTTTACTATAAATAGAGAATTTCTTTTTTGCTGCTTTCCCCGTTGTTTTTAAAAAAGCTTTGGATACAAATTTTAAAAAAGTCAGATGCTCAACATCCTGTTAAACATTTTTTCAATGTATTAAAAGTCTATTAAAATGAAACCTGAAGTCTGAAATGTTTCTAAAGTAAGTTAAAAACCAATATACAAACATATAAACTATCGACAACCATTTTAAAATAAAAATAACCATTCTTAGAACACGTTCAGCATTGTAAAATTAGATACAGATTTTCTCAAATTTGCTTAATTCTGTGATTAAATGGAAATATTGGTGTCTGTAACTTCTTCCTGCCAATCTATAGAAAGGATTTAGGAAGATGGTTGGGAAATTTTTGTCTCTACTCTTCATTTTGCAGCTTGTCATAAACTGGAGAGAGAGAGAAAAAAGAGAGAGGTGGAAGAAATTTGTAATTGGGTGACTGGCCTAAGAATCAGTACGTCACATGGCCAAGTTTAGTATCTGCCTTAAATCTAGTTAAGCAAATAGGTAGGAAACATTGAATCGAGATACATCTTGTCATTAAATCTTAAATAATCTGTGTCACTAAAAGACAAAGCATTTTCATGTGGCAGGTGGGTTTTAAATCACATACCAGAAGGACGTTTTGAAGAAGCGTCTAAATTACTAAAACAGTAAGTCTGTCTTGGACATATTTCAAACTGTAATTAACATGTATGGTATTTTTCTAAATGGAATTTCCATTCATATCTAAACAAGATGTTTCTTTATTCCCCCAAATTAAAATAACAGGAAACAAAAGAAGGATTTTATCATGATTCCAATATTAACACAGAGTAAATGACTATTCTTTTGCAGTAGTGAGAAACTTTAATAGGCATTAAATAAAATTTATCTTATAACTGTTTATAGATACTAACTTCATACTGTAGATGCATATTCTTTTGGCTAAAACTAAACTTCTTTGGTTATTGAATGATATAGTATTTGACAATGCATTCTTTCCAGTCATTGAAATAAATTTCATGTTTACTTTGTTCTGTATAATATAGACAGTTTCTTTGGTCTGGCTAGTAGTCACCATTTCTGCTGCCATAACTGACAGTATGGTATGTTTTGTTAAAATACAAGTTTATACCGGTAATATAAATGCATTTGTAAAGATATCTTGAAACAACAATAATAAATTCAGTTTCCTGCCTCAAACATCCTATTTAATATATTGGATGGGGAAATTAAGCTGTAGTTTTTTATTAACTGGGAATTAAGCAATATAGTACAAGATGCAGTCCAATTAATATTAATTAAGATGGATGATACTGTCTATTCTTTTTTCAAAGCAATAGTCCATCCTTGTATTATCGATCACCTTGTGTGTCTATGTGCACATGGATGCATAAAAGCTATTTGGAACAGAAAAAAAAAAAGACTTGCTCAATTATCAAAGACCAAGGCATAAATTGTGTGTTCTGCAGAGACCCATTCCTTCATATAATAGATAATAACTGGAGGAATTCAATTAGTGCTGATCACATTACTATAGACAGAGGAGGAAAAAGTAGGTGCTGAATCTCCAATAGCTGAACAGGTAATCAGAAATGACTAAGAGATGTCTTGGTATAAGAAGAATTAAAGGATCTTTACATATAATTGACAAATAACTGCCATGGAAATGGTATTTCAGTTGTAGGTTTGCAAAAATCTGGGTGTAACACTATATGGAAAATTCAGATTATAAGAGATAGAGAGTAGGATCCAAGGGTCCCTGATGTCAATAGAGAAGTACTGATCTACAGGAAAATAATCTGATAGAAGAAAAGCTTCTTTGAGCCTGTTGAGTGGATTTGCACCTAGGAAACTATATGTAAGTAACCTTATATCAATCCTATGCAAGCACAAAGAAGATAAGTAGTTGATCCTTTATATTTCTTGGGATACTATAATTATATGATTGCTTATATACTAGGTGTGGCAAGCCATTTCCCCCATTTTATGATCCTATAATCTTGCTATATACTGTTGTATACTGGACAGATGTTATATACTCAGAACAATGGCAGCTCTCACATGTGAAAAAACATATTAAAAAAAATTCTCTCCTTTTAACCGTATTATTTTTTTTCAAGGTTCCTCTAAGCTTTTTTAATCTGGTTACTTCATGCACTATATCATTCCAAGTGCTCCTCCTGTCAGGTGTGAGAAGCAATACATTTTTGCCTAAAGCTTTACAATGAAAATGTATAATTCTTCATAAGTATAGCAAAAAAGGGCAACCAGTAATGGAATCTTGACAGTAATGGAATGAAGATAGTAGGATGTGACACTTAATTGCTTTGGAAAATTTGTGAGGAATCGTATTGAGAGGCTTTGAGAATTTCAGGATATTAGAATTGTAACTAATTAATTTAACCACAGTGCCTATAATATTGGAGATGGGCACTCAGATTCAAATTCCTGCTTCTGTACTTATGCTTCTTAGACTCCTGATGGAAGTCATAAGATGATACTGCTACAGACATGTATCACTGACACAAGGCAAGAGTAGGATAGGAATTAAATCTAAATAAATAGAATAATATAGAATAATATATTATAGAGTCAGGAGGGACCTTGTAAGTCATCTAGTCCAACCCCCTGCTCAAGCAAGAGACCTTGTACCATTTCTGACAAGTGGCTGTCCAGTCTTTTTCTGAAAGCCTCCAGTAACGAAGCACCCACAAATTCTGAAGGCAAGCTGTTCCATTGGTTGATTGTTCTCTCTGTCAGAAAATTTCTCCTTATTTCTACCATAGGTTAAATCTCTCCTTGATCAGTTTCTATCCATTGTTCCTTGTCTAGAACCTGTATCAAAAATGTATCAAAACAATCCTAAGGGTGATAAAACTATTAGTGTATAGATAGGAGATGAGCTGTGAAAGAGAAGATAGTTCCAATGTAAAGTAACATTTTAAAGCAAAGCTATGATCAGAATGATTAAACTTGTTCCATACTGACTCCGATTAACATGCTGACCAGGACATTTTTTTTCTAAAAGGTTAATGGTATTTTCAGTAACTGAAATATGCCATGATAATAAAGTTTGGTTGGTAAATTATTCTTAATGTTGGACACTACAGCTCTTCATTTAACTTGATTATGATGTACCATAAATAAGCTAGCATAGCTTAAGATCTAGCAAATTACATATAGCTCCTCAGAGACCTGACAAATTGGGACATTCTATACATTTCATAAATAAATAAGTAGACTGTATGATGGTTTAGTATATTGGTTCATTCATTAATTCTGTTTTTAATTGATTAAATCATAGCCCACTGACTTAAGGTTAGAACTTCTCTGCAAAAGTCCCTATGGTTTTTTGTCAAAGGCACAATCATTTAAAAGTCTAAATATAACAATTATTTGCATATTTGTGGTTTAAATACCTTGGACTCATAAAGATTTACCTAATTTGGCTATAAGAGAGATGCAGCAACTTGCAGTAATTAGAAGAAACTTCTTGCACAAAATGCTGAATGTGTTGTTTTTGTAATTCTGCTAAAATAAAATCAGAATTGTCTCTGTCTAGAAAAGGGGTCTTTTTTTTTTGCCTAATTTCTTTTTAAATAGCCAATAAAGCTGTAGACCCATTTCTGCCATTAGTAAATATAAGGGCAAGTTAAAAGAGACAAGAAACTGTAGTGATTTTTACTGGTTCCAAATAGGCTCAGTGCCCCTGTCCTCATTCTGCCTTTATCTTGTTGCATTGATTTCCCTTGCCCCCTCAAGACTTTTTTGCTTTATACACAAGTGGGGTCCAATTATTGCAGACTACCTTCTTCCAGGAGGCTTGCACATTAGTGTCAGTTTTCTAAGTGATTTCCACTTTCTTTGTGCCAATACTGTTTATTCTGTCTCCATTGCCTTGTCTATCAGTGCATTCAGGTCAAACTGCCAGTTATAGTTATCATACCAATGTGTGAATACAGTAGGATGTCAAAGCAAAAGAAACTATCTGTTTTAGGAGGACCTCTAACTGTAAATTCAGACAGAAGGATTTACTCTAGGGGACATACAAATGGGAATTATCAAGCAATTAGAGCCTCAGCAGAACTTTCTTGTCCCTAGGGAAGAATTCTCCACCTCGATCATTCATAGAACTTATAAAACAGGTTTCTGTTTTCCAACTGGTTAATATCAGTCTAATATTTATTTAATATCAATGCGAATAATATTATGAGTGAAGACTATTTGCACTAATAGTTGGAAAACACAAAACCCTAAGGAACGGAATGCAAATGTGCAATGTGAACTATGTGTGTTTCTTATATGGCTCTTATGGTTTACTTTGAGCCACTTAAATGAATATGGACTTGAGGATTTCAACATTCAGCAGATACGTGGCCACGTCTTTTCAAAAAAGCATTGCCAGTACACTTCCCATGGACTTTCTGTTGTACTGAAGGCATATTTATTAAGAGATACAATTCTGCTTTTTAACTCTGATTTCAAATGGGCAGGTAGAGAAAGGGAGTCGAAGAAAGGGAAACCAAAGGAAACCATGAACCAGAAAAAAATGGTCATGTTGCCTAGTTTTTGCTTTAGACCAACTCATAACTGTCTTCAGATATTGAAGATATTGACAATATAGGGCCACCAAGGGGATATAGCCCTTGAGAAAGATTTTCTTGTTCAAATCCTGGTGCATAGGATTGCAGATTTAATATCTTCACTCATCAACTGACAGTATGAAGAAAAGTGTAATCTTGTTGTATTGGACTTCATGACTGAAGCTTCATCTGATCCATAATTCTGTCCACAGCTTTTGGGAACTTCATTAATGAAATATCCAAATCCAAATCCAAATTATAGCTCTATTACTTTGGCTAATTATTGCCTTTTTGAGACACCTAAGCTAAGGGTAGTCCACCATTTCTTGGCCATAAGAAGGTCCGGGGTGCATGAATATTAGATAAAAGAAGGGTGAGAGATCTCAGTGTTTACTAGTGTTCAAGCATCCTGTTCTATATTTATGAATGTATTTCTGAAATTCGTTTATCCAAATAAACTTTGATCATTTATTTTATCAAAACATATTTAATTGCCAAATCTGCATTTTTAAATTGGCGTTTAGACAGCTTTTTAGTAAAAAGTTTTTATACTAAAAAAATAAAAGAAATGTGTATCCTGGCCTGAGGTATATGTCAATCTACAAATGAATATG